TGGTGTCGACTGTCCTCATGCCGAACCCTTTATTTAACACTGTTGGTGTCGACTGTCCTCATGCCGAACCCTTTATTTAACACTGCCCACCCAAAACCTTTGTGTAACATTGTTGGTGTCGACTGTCCACTCCAATGCTTTATTTAACGCTTTTTTGTCTACTGTCCTCATGTCCACCAGCCCTTTATTTATCACTGTTGGTGTCGATCATCTTTACATCAACCTAACCCTGTTGGTGTCAACTTTCTTCATGTCCACCCAAACCGCATACATATCACTGTTATTGTCGATCGTGTTCCTGCCCATCACAATCCCTTATTTAACACTGTTGGTGTCGAGTGTTCACACAAATCCTTTATTTAACAGTTTGTGTCGACTGTCCTAATGTCCACCCCATCCCTTTCTTTAACGCTGTTGGTGTCGACTGTCCTCCCCAACCCTCAATTAACACTGTTCGTGACGACTGTCCTAATGTCCTCGCCAACCCTATTCTTATCACTGTTAGTGTCGATCGTCTCCATGTCCACCCGAACCCTTTATTTATTATTGTTGCTGCTGTCTAATCACATCCATGTACATATCAAGGCTTTATTTAACACTGTTGGTTTCGAATTTTCTCATATTAGAAAGCATTTATACCGAATAACACAAATGCTATAGATAAGTATCTTGTAATACTCGATACTCAGTTAGTGTTAACGTAGTGACAAAGCTTTACTTGGGCCAATGCATTGTTGATTTGTTTAAACCAACAAATGTTAGTGACAAACATTTCAAGCAGATACTGCCTGCTGTTATTATTCAGTCAGAATGGACACTCTCTCCTTTATTCAAGTCAACGTTAATGTTTAAATAAAGGATTTACAAGTTTATTGCGACCAGAGAGATATCTCTCGATCCTATCGGACAGAAACGTCGGAAAATATTCTTTTAAGATTTAAAGCGGGTTTTTCTAAATTGAAAAACAATGGATGGAGATATATGGCTATGAATAGATCACTAAGAATGAGTCCAGTTTTCAATTAGATCTACAGTGCAGAGAACGACGTCCACTTTATATTTATTTGTTCATATTATGAAACCTTTAGAAAATATATCTGGCGGAAAATTTAAGAAAATATCCTAGCTTAAATACCCTTATGTGATGCGTGGGCACCAACAATGAACGTTTATAAAAAGATTCATCACATTACTTATTATATGCTAACGAAAAACGAAAATCGATTGTAATGAACTGACCTAGTGTATACTTACTGTGTGAAAAGTTGTTTGTGTATGGGACCGAGGCCTTCATGCAAGTAAACGTCTTTTTCTTCGTCTTCTTCTCCTTCGTCTTCTGTCAATTGTATATATTTGTAAAAAAGGACCCACGAAATGTCTTTGATGAATATGTTTTGTAAAACATTTGAAATTTGTTCAGGATATTACAATATCATTAACTTGTTCTCATCAATAATTTCTTCACTTTTATTATATGTGTATCTCATCTGTGCCCTATATAAACATACGAACAGCTTGAACTGTTGTCAAAAGTTTTTAAGTACTATGCCTGTTTGTCTATCATCCGGTTCAAAACAAGATTTGTGATCTGGTTTATTTGTAGTAAACCAGTGGAAAGTATGCATCCCATGGATCCGCCCTCTTCTGCCCAACTGGGGCGGTCGGGTAGCCTAGTGAATGCGTTCGCTCGTCATGCCGAAGACCCGGGTTGGATTCCCGACATGGGAACAATGTGTGAAGCCAAATTCTGGTATCCCCCGCCGTGATATTGCTGGAATATTGCTAAAAGGGGCGTCACTGACTCACAGTTATGATAGAGAAATGTACATAACTTGTAAAATGTATTTTTCACGAATACTGATGTAAGGGAGGGGACTCTGGTATCCACTCTAAGTACACAAAATGACACACAATGTGCACAGGCTGTAGACATAGACCATGACCACAAGGTCATTCAAACTCAGTAACTGTCATACTAACATTATCCTCGGATAATATGGGTCTGATTACAAATGAGTACTAGTAATTAGAATAAAAAAGGTTGCTTTTCATTGACAATAACCATATTTAGTAGAAATTGCTTTAAGCGTCCTGCTAAACTGCCAGAATATTTGGTTAAGGGGCACCCGGTGACTATAACGCTTGTTCCTTTACAATAACTTATGGCTTTAAATTGTTTCAATCATTATTTGCCTGACGTAATGACCAGAGAGGGCCACGTTTGACAAAATGCTTTTTAATACTTTACTTTCAAGATTCGCCAGTAACTAAACCCCACTTATCCGGATGGTACACCTCCGAGTGAGATGCAACGTGATATCATCCTTCAGACGCCAGGGTGTCCAGACTAACTGCACTTCTCGTGAACATGTCTTCAGTGTTGACCAAGGAAACATTCCCCTCGATAACTATCTTATTTCGAATAAACCTGCTTACAGAACAATATACTCAAGGTACTGATAATTGTTGTTTAACAAATCAAATGATGAATCCAACGGCTATGTCAAATATCTTATTAATAACATCAAATAATGAGATGTATGATTACGTCTAAATGCATACGGAGATTAATACTAACGAGATCTGTGTGTTGTGTACCATGATTAGGTACTCTCTCTTGCGTCACATTGACAAAATGACGGCCTCCAGGCGTTCGATCACGTATGACTTTCCCATAAACAAATGATATTTTCGGAAAGTATCTCAGAGAGAGGAATGTATGGTCTGGAAGGTAGTTTAAGGTACCGACGTTTACTACAATATCTGAACTCAACTCGAAAGGGTGCAAGGAAATCAAGGGATTCCCGTGCACCCTTTCGAATTGAGTTGATTTGTTTAACTGTGTCATATGGCCCTGTGACGCAGGGGTAGCATTATGCAGATGGCTGTTTCAATGAATGCTCGTTCCACCCGTGGCGAACAGGTCTGGTTGTTGATGAAATATAGTGATAGCTAAATAGACAGATGCTATTGCATGTTGTTATAAATACAATTTTCCCTAAACTGAACACATTGATAACATGAGAATAACATTGACCTTTGCGACTGTTTTTTATCTCATTAAGGACAAAGATACATGTGTATCTCGGGACGACCTCTCAAGTTAAGGAACGTGGTGAGTTATATAAAGGCGTGCTCATCGAATGAATCTGGAGGTCACGACTTGATATATGGAGATTGGGATCTTATGGCTAAAATACATTCAATTTCTCAATGCAGGTTTTACTTATTTCATGTTTATAACAGGAACTGTCAATTGCCTGCCTTTCATGAATTTAATCTATGTAATCACGCACACTAAATAGATACATGAGAACATATATTTTTGTATGGGACAAAATGATTACAATTAATTTTGTATACAAGCTTAATTTTGTAATTTGTATATCATCAAATGATTATCTGAATGCCGTCCAACAAATATGCATTTAATCACTCTATGGGCTGTTTTAGAGATTAATTTTCAAACAACTGCGGCCATTGTGGGGCGCTGGGGTAGCTTAGTGGTTAAAGCGTTAAAGACCCGGGCTCGTTTTGTACAATGTTTGAGGTCGATCTTGCGTCCCTCGCGAGGACATGGGGAGGGGGGACTAAAAAACAGCATAAACTCACTCACTTCTCAGTTGCCACTCACTATTCCGTGTGATAAGTTCCGTCTCGGGAAAAGTGTTGCTCTTTTACATCCCTACTGTTTTCTATGTATAGACAGCTCAAATGAACTGTAGCAACATGAATGTCAGCAGACTACCACAATCAAGCAGTTTTCAACATTTATATGTGATGTATCTCCATTGTGATTGATTGTTGCTTTGACAGATAATTTCGGTTGTAAATGTAAGTCAGATAACTTCATTAACGGGTCTCCAACAGCTGTAGGTCTTCGAGCCGCAGGTGGGTAGCATAGTGGGAAAAGCGTTTGCTCGTTATGACAATGGGACATATTCGACTACAACATGAGTTCATCTGAACCTCATATCTATTGTCACCCACTTTGAAATATTCGTACTAATGCAAAAGTAGGACATTCCAGTGAACCCCTGTTAATCTGGACAGCATTGTCCCAGTGCATCGTTCCAATTGACAATTGTCCGGATAAACAGATTTTTGGTAAATATCAATATCAAATTCTATGTAGATGATCCATTTATCGTCCGGAATGTTCGGTCCAACCGATCGCGAACTTTACACAGTTAGTCAAAGTTGGGTTGTGGTAAAATGCAATGATAGTCCATGTGGACGGAAGGTTTGATGTGTCTAAGAATGACACTATGTTGGTTTCTTTCTCTGCTCAACCCTAAACATCCCCAGTGTTACTCAATCCGGCCGTCATTATCCTACCATACATGACCCTGCGAATACTATAAGATTGCTTACCCTGCATGCAACCTATCCACCGTGTATTATATATAGTCATATCTTCGCATGTGAGCTCAATTAGTGAGTAAAAGTAAAATAAATAACGCAGATTTCCATAAATGAAACCACAATTAGCGGATTCTCACATGTCACTACTGGTCGCAAATATCCACCGAGATTTAACGGATTCTGGCATGAGGCGAGGCGTTCTACCAGTTCTAATACAGATACAATATAGCTGACTACTGACCAAGTCTTGCCATTGGGCTCCAGTCATAGATTCGCTTTGTCCAGACTCGATAAGCCAGCCAGTCCTGGTATAGTTGTAGTTGTGGTGTCTGCGACTAACACCTATGTTAGAAATGACACACTTCAGATGTGTACCGATAATGTGCCAAGCACCTCGTTTTTCTTGTCGACAATGCAAGAATGTTCTGATGGTGTTACAATCCACGTCAAAACGAAAGGTCCCAGCTTCCCGCATCCGAATACCAAGGGTATTTTTAAATGCATGTAGATATTGTATATCTGCATACAACCTAAACAGGATTATATGTATGGCACGGTGTGACGTTCCTTAGCAATGTCAATTTCAAATGTTTCGGACACATCATTATCACAGTAAATAAAGATTCATGTCTGTGTTACTTCGCTGGCAATGTGAATGACATATATTAGGTCATTGTCACATCAACACATTTATTACATTCCAAAAAAACAGGCGTAATACATTGACAAAAGATACAACATCAGATTTTCCCAACAGATGTTGTGTTTAACCAAGTATAATATTGACTTAAACTTCATGCTGAAATACAATTTTGACGCTGGAGATGAAGAATTGATTCGATTAAATGCCAATTATCTTGCGACCTGAACTAAATCCTAAGTACCAGTACTCAATACAATTTTACTTGCCTTGTCTGTACATTGAATACACAACCCTTTAAGAAAGTGGTGAAATGTAACAAATAGTATATTTGGGATTACATTTTCTTAGTAAAATACAAATTCTAGGACTTTCGGGGATCCGGGTCTCGAACCCCCACTCTCAGAGTAATGGCCAGCACACAAAGTCAGCGATCTCACCCACTTCAGCACTGAAGTCCGACAACTTGTCTAGTCTAGTCTAGAACACGAAACTTGGCGTACCCCTGACTGGGTCAGAACGCTGACACTAATTGACTATACAGTTTTTGAAAAAAATATTGAAAATCATATTTAAACAAAAAAAGTGAAATGTGAACATAAAATACCATAATATAGATTATATATGCGTGTGTATAATGGCCACATAGCCAGTTCTGTTACCAACCTGTACATGTACTAGAAATAAAAAAAAGACCAGTGAAATCGCCTCATCTGTTTCATATTTAGGTCTATGCATAAAGATCCAGAGTGACAAAAAAATATCCACAAGGCCGTATGACAATCCTGATTACTTTCAAACAGGCAACTTTTGAGACATCCGTGACAAAAATGATGTGTCCAATTCCCTGTTTTGACTTGTACCATATGTGCATGTGTTTTTAGGTGAACACTTGACTTGCCTGTGCAAGTGTATGTGACGGGAGGCATCTTTTCACGAACACCTGGTATCATCACTATTTGAGAGTGATTCATCAACACATGCTTATGACAGTCGAAATCGGACAAAGGCATCTGCTTTACGCAGAGATTCTTCAGGATTATTGAAATGGTTTTGATTGAAATGATTTGCGACAACAGCACACAGTGTATATTTTGCACATAATCAATGTCATATACTTATATTGTATACTGAACCGCAAAAGAAACGTCACCATGGATATGAGAAACCTTATTTGTCCAAACAATGTAAACATACTTTGAGACATATTAAAGAGATGAAACTTGGCAAAACTGATCATCAAGGTTGAAATTAAAGTGTCAAATGTTCTGAAAGTGAGGTGTATATTTTGTACATAATCCATGTCAAATTGAAATGCATTGAAATGATCGGACAACATGATCGAAAGGTAAAAACGTCAATCAGAGATGGAAAAGCAATGGTACAGCAAAGCCTGTGTCTACTGTGTGTATCAGCCATAACACCGGTTACGCACATTAATATATATTCATGCACCAGGGTACATACTAATCACAAACTAAACAGCAATTGTATTGCTTCTAAGCTTACATTTTGCATTGCAGAAAACATGTGAGTTATTAAATTTACTACTGCTACTTGTAGTTTTATTTAAACCTGGTTTCAGTAGTTATCCTTCCGTAATCATGACCATCTACATTCTGGTAAGTTGCAAGCTGGTCGTACGTATTATCTGTGTCGCGAGAGTACTGTCCAGGCACATAGTTCACATAACCCTCATTACTGCGACTGCTGTCGACAGTCACCATCTGAGCAACAGGAATCTCTTCATATATCTCATTTTGGTCTGCGTGAAACTTTGCGATCACTTGATCTCTGTTCTTCTTAGGCCTTTCCCTTTGAGCTTTTCTATAAGAAATGAGAATTATTTTAGGCAAACACATGACTAACGAAGAGTTGGTGCACTGTTTAATATGTTCAGTTACTGAGGACATTGTGTTTCATTGTGTGTTACAATCATGTTTATTTCAGTCAAATGTTTATATGTGCTGTGGCTTCGTGGTGGAGAGTTAAGACCAGTTCTGAAGCTGAAAGTCGAATGTGTCTCTAGGACGGGCGATGAATTACAGCAGGTGGCAATCTTTACTTAAGGATTAACTGTGTGAGTTTTTCGGTTCTTTGAGGTATGAATAGAAAAACCGATGTGCAAACTGTATGCATCCGCGTAGTGGATAGCTTACAAACATTTGCAAATAATACATGGAGATAATAAATAGCATAGTAAAATGATAATATACTGAACAGCATTGAAAACGCACCAGCAATAAATCTTGAAATATTACAAGAACAACTTGAGCAATGATCGATTTCAATTAGAACAGACATAGACGGATTATTAAGAAAGACGACAAAGGAAACAGGAATACCACACAGTAATTACATTTACGTCATCAGTGTGAGGAAAACACATAGGGTTAAAATGAAAAGTCAATATCTGGTATGTCCGCCATTGGCAGCAACATAGGCCATGCAACGTCTTTTCATTGATCGAATAAGTCTGCGAATAGTGTTCTGTGGGATAGCATTCCACTCTTGACGTAGTGTATCTTCAAGTTCTCTCAGGTTCCGTACTTGCGGACGACGTGAGAGGCGTTGACCTAGGTATTCCCATAGATGTTCAATTAGCGATAGATGGGTGACAGGGCTAGCCATGGAAGCAGAGGCACATTATTGTTCGCTGGGTACTGTGTTGAAACACGTGCCGTGTGCGCTCTTGCATTATCTTGCTGAAAGGTGTGCATATCCTGGTGCTGATGAAAGAATAAGTGACGTGATTTGCCAATGTGTTATTCCTGTAGTAAAGGGCATTAACTCTTCCACGACAAACATGGAGCTCTGTTCGATGGTTATGACTGATGCCGCCCCACACCATGACACTCCCTCCCCTCCATCGATCTGTCTGTACAACGCAGGCATTGTGGTAACGTTCTCTACGTCGACGCCACACTCGCAGTCGACCGTCAGCATTCCGTAAATGAAAACGGGACTCATCAGAGAACAGCACACCATGCCACTGCCGCAATCTCCAATGACGATGCTTTTCGGCCCAACGCAGACGTTCATTTCGATGTCGATCAGTGAGTATTGGTCAAAAATATGGACGTCGAGCACGTAGCCCAGCTGAGCGGAGACGTCGATGTACGGTGTCGGCGCTTATCAAACCCCGTCGTCCTTGTACGGTTGCTGCAGTCCTGGTAGCCGGAAGTGTACGATCACGAAGATGCCGACGAACAATATGGCGATCCTGACGTGGTGTAGTTACACGACGTTGACCCGGACGTGGTCGATCTCTGGTGGTTCCTGTCTGTTGGTATCTGCTCAGTAGCCTGAGGACTTTTGAATGATGGCATTGAAAACGTTGTGCAACGACTCTACTTGACGTACCAACTTGAAGCATGCCCAAGGCACGTTCCATTTCCTCTGCTGTTAATCTTGGCATTTCTTGTGTTAGTACCCTTGAGGTCTGCATCAACAAGTGATGTGGCTTTTAAAAGTCTGTATTTTATAGCCCTATTCTGCATGCTTCCCGTGAAACAAAACACGTTTTCCATGTAGCGCACGCAATTTGTTGCTTTTTGGCGTTGTCGCTCACAAAACATTTTGGAATGTGTTTTGACGAGCTGGTCTTCTTCATGCTTCGTCCAGAACGTCGTATATTACTCATTCAATTATATATTTTCATATTACATAAGCCCGGATAAAAATACATCCATTTTCATGGTGGTGCGTTTTCAATGCTGTTCAGTATCTAGCCTTTCACAGTCACATTTACGAATAAATATTTACTTTGTCAAAACAGGATCAGGCTTTAATCTAAGTTCTGGCGGCCTATTCATGAAGCTTTCTTAGCGCCAAGATTGGCGTAAATGAGTCGTGTAGCGAGAAACGTCAACTCTCGAAGTTTTTCTAAGTTAACGAAAAATATTAAGATAGGGAACGGAACTGAAACAACATACTTTTTTCATTTCATTCGGTTGTAACACTAGAAGCGTATGTGCATGCTATCGGAATGGCCGTGATCTTTTCTTGTAAATGGCAGTCGGTCAGTTTCAACACGGGAAATTTCTTGAATTTTTGTTTTAATTTAAGATGCTCAAAAGATAGGCACAAATGACCTGATTCTATCTTAAATTCTTAAATAGAATCAGTATCGATACAAATATTGAATCAACTGGCATAGCAAAGGCTTTCGCTTGTACTTATGATTGTTAATAGACCCGGGACAGCAAAGTTGTATCACGCTTCAGTGAGACAGAACCAGCTGAACAATTCACAGTGTAGCAATTAGACTATCTGTAGTTTGAGTTGAATATTGTTTACACATATTTCGGTTGCAGGTGTTTTTATAGGGAATGAAAAGAACATCGAGATCCCGTATAAATCGCAACAATACATCATATAGCTTCGAGGTCGCTAATGGAACGCCCCCAAAAAAGCAAAATTGGTGTTGCGATGTGTCGCATTGCTACTTATTTACGCATTTTGTTGTATTCACACTTTCGTTTTCCTTTGGCATCATCATTTCGAATTGTATATGTTGATCTTCAATAAAATATCTAACTATAAAAGACAATAGCTTTACGTAAGTACTACATTGATCAATTGTACATAACAATAACATGAGACTCCATCCTTAATCATAACATCAACATTTATATTCAATAGTTGTTTATGTGATTATCAAACGTCTTAGATAACATTTAAGATGTAGGGAATTCCCTGAATGACCGATGACGTCATTTTGAAACACCAAATTTAATTTACCGGCATTACAACAGTGCTCCCTGTCTCAGCTAATATTTTTGTGATATGTAAGGTATTGTTGCGAAAGGTTTAAGACAGCTTGAAGAATAGCTCATATGGCAGTCGTAATATTTGTCTAAGTCGATGTCTTAGCTGAGTCAGCTTCATGATTAGGCCGCCTGCTTTAGAAACAAATCACACTTACTTTCGTCGCAGAATGATAAAGATGCCTATTACAACGAGTATGACAATTACCGCAGCAACTACACCTCCGACCACAGCAGCAACAGGTACTGGTGCTGAAACACACATGTCATTTGGAGAAACATCAAACCGATAAAACAAAATACAATAGTCACTTCAAGTATAGATATGTTCATCATGGAGTAAACGTTTAGTACAAATTGGTGTTTACCTGATGTTGATATTTCTATTCTGTTGCTTGTGGTGCATCCATAATTAGTGCAAGAAAATGCATACACACTGAAACGAAAAAGATCCTTGCAACATAGTTTATGTAAAAAGAATGTCTGGAAACACAGAACATGTCCGTATTGAATTTTAAACTTCTTTAAACCACTTCATGAAATATATATTTTGTGACTATTCAAGATGGTCGGTAACTTACATAAAAGTTTCTCCTGTGGGGAGTTTTCCATTACAAAAGAGATTCTTCGTGTTTCCACTGCAATCCTCATTTCCGAGAGTGAAAAGTAAACTTGATTTTCCTGTAAATACAAAACAAAATACAGGAATGACAACACCGAGTGTGAGTTGAATTTTGATGTAAAAGCTCCGGAAGCTTTACCAGAGTATTGTGTCAGCTGGTATGTGACACAAGATACTCGAATAAAGAATCCGAGTCCTGCAGGAGAAGAAACTATGTTTCCGTTTACATAGTTATACTAGAGATACAGAGATATTAAACCATGTGTGGAACGTAAACTCATTAATACATTTTGGTAATGGTTTCCAGGCACATTTAAACATCAAGCATGACCTCTTCGAAATGCATTTAGAAGGGATACACATAAGGAAGAGAATATATATTGGTGTCAACTTCTATATTATGAGGAACACAACGTTTTGGAATAAATGCTTACTCCTTCATCGGGTGAATGAATGCAATGAGACAGAGAGCATATAAAATTTATATGTATAGGTAAGGACAACAAAATAATAAGATAACAAAAGGTGGAAAATGACAAAGGGTAGAAACTAACAAGGGAAGCTAACAGCTGATTGGCGCTGATAAGTGATTAGCAACAGACAACGGAAGCCAAAACTTTGCAGTAATTAGCGCTGAAGGTATGGAAGCCAGTTGCCATCTCCAAATATTGTGGGCCCTGATTTCATAAAATTTCATAAAACTATTATCAGCACTAAGCCAATCTAAAACGATTTGATATCAATACTCAGCTTACAACAACTGCTTTCTAAATTACGGCTCATTTGCAGCCATGTCTATTCAGTAAAAATAAAGTCTTAATGCTATTGTCAAGTTTGTCTTGATTCTACAGTATATAAATATATACAAAAATACAATACTACAGCGGATATGTCGCTTTACGTTTTAAACCGTGTTTTTTTCTGCAGCCCGTTCAAAAGACTACATATGGGCCAGTGTGAGGTTAACTCAATGCTATCCTTCCTTAACTGTTGACCTGATTATGAGTGTCTTCAAGGCTTTCCATATCATCAATACGTACCACTAAGTCCATCAAGCCAGTTATCTCTTGTTGCTCTGTAGGGAATACCAAAATCCTGGGCATTGGCTGCATTCCAGTTGGCCATATTGTCATAATCCACTGCAGAAGTAGTCTGACGAAGATTTCCTGTATATTGATATGCAAAATGTATATGGTATAATGAAATGTCGACCAAACTTTAAAATCTATGTTCATGGACGTTGGACATAATGACTGAGGCCATTTCGATTGAATTTTATTTCTGCGTTAACTCTTTTTTGCAAAATATGTAACCACAAAATATTAAGCTTTTTTCCACTTTGTGAGTCAGGTACATCTAGTAATCGAACGTTCACCTGTGCATTTGCGCATAGTTCACAAAAATATGTCAAAACAGTCAAATTTTGAGACGACCGCCAAAACTTACTGTCTTGCCCACTGTAGTCTTTTCGACACACAATGAGCCCCGTCTTGTTTACTTGGCCATTTGTGCGATCCTGAAGACAGCGGGGACAAATGAGCAATGGTGGCGTCTCCGATTGCTCCGTTCCCTTTTTCACGGAGTTGATAATTTCCGTCTGTATTGGGGCTAAGAAATTGCGAGGAAACAATTAAAGGATGAATGCATGCACCTTCTTTATTAAATGTACGTATAGATGAACATGTATAACCAAACAAAGATAATATATACATGTCTGTCAGATTACGTGTTTTCATGATTATTTTGATTTTTCATCATAAATGCATCTAATGCAGTACATTTATAAAAGTGGTAAATATAAAGATACATATATTGTAAATTGAAATTCTATCGTTTTGCTTTCAACATTCTTCCCAAAAGCATAAACAAGTAAGATTTGGTATTCATTAAAATATTGAAACATACGTCCGCCTTGTATGTAGATACTTGTTTTTACCACAGCACCAACGAAGCCCCTGTTGTAGAGGCGAACCTAAACATAATTAACCTACGATGATATAATCATGAACGGGAGAGGAGTATTGAGATGATTCTTATTATTTGTATGATGAATACATATGTGTGTGAGTGTGACACCAGAAGTGTAAGGGGTGGGAAAGACTAGTAATAGCAGGTCACTTAATGTGCACACATATTGTTTGACCTGAAACTATCCTCTATCAATGGAACTAAAGGAAAAAACCATTCGCCTTCTTGTCCTACATACATGACCCACCTGGAACTCGTACATGAATTCTGTAGTGACTGTAACAGTCTCGTCCCACATGCAGTCATTTCCTACGGCTGAGAAGTTAATGTTCTTCCGTACAGGTTCCACATATACTGTCGGCTGCTGGAAAGAAAATACTCAGTTCAAATTGATCCTGCAATTGCTTTGTGTTGAGGTTTTCAATGAAGCCAACTTTACTCTAGGAGGTACATGTAAGCCCTATTACCCAGTAACACATGGACTGAGATACTATGCAGTAACATATCAACAGAGATATTTTTGTTTGTGTTGTTTGTTTGTTGTTGAACACCGCACTCTACAATATTCCAGCTATATAACGGCGGTCTGTAATTAATTGAGTGGACCAGACAATCCGGTGATTGATATCATGGGCATCGATCCACGCAACTGAGAAACGATGACATTCAACAACCAAGTCAGCGAGTCTAACCACCCGATCCTTTTCTATCCCGCATGTAAAAGTTCCTGTAAGCCCACCGTGACGCACAAGTACAAAAATGCACGTTCTGGTTTCTCGTGAATGAAACTAGAGTTGAGTGGGGGGGGGGGGGGGGGGGGGGGGGGGGGGGGGGGGGGGGTTAGCCTAGTGGTTAAAGCATTCAACATTCGGTTCACAACACAACACTACCAGTGTCTTTCATTCACATTCATCTTACGGTTGTAAAGAAATTCAGGTTGGCGTTGACAATTTCTCCATTTCGTCCATCCTTCTGTTTGGGACACTTCCACGACACTCGAACCCTGTTAAATTCATTATGAAGATTTGTGATCCGGAAGTTAGTCGCAGCAGTCGGTTCTGGAGAAATCAATCACATTTTTAATATACTGACACAAATTCAACTTTCGATTATCAGTTTGAGAAAAAACTCAAATAAAGTCGGCATTGTTGCAATGAAGTTGTAAAATAATACGAGTATAAACTGAACTTGATGACAAGATAACCACTGTGCAAGTTCTTATTTGTGTCAGAGTGACATCAGAATCTTGAAGTCTTGTATGTGGCTTGTGTCTACAATGTTCTCATTCATCATGTTTTAGGTGATCACATATATTGTTTCCACAGTGAGACCCCTTTTAGTCACCCTGATTATAGTACCTGATTCCATCGTTCTCTCAGGTCTGCTGCTGACAATCGCCGAAGCACCAATGGATGTCAAGGCTACAATATCAAACTTGTAGAACCAGTAGCTGGAAGGAGAGCCAATGGTATACGTCTTAGTTTTCCAATCTGAAATAAAAAGTTCCCAACAGCTTTGAGGGAAATATTAAAACACAATATCATGTCTAGTTGTGTTAAATGTTACTCAGGAATCATTCAGATGACAATGACGAAGATAGTTGTGCGCCAAACCGACCACACTCGTCATCCGCGAAATTGGTAAAACCAATATTGGTGTTGAAGGTTAGAAAATAAAAAAATAAATTCAACCTACAAACATTCAAAATGCCGACTATTTCCAAGATTGCTTCCAAGAATCATCGCTCTCTGCAACACGTGGCATTGTGTTTGGGGTTATCACCTTGTATTTACATCCTCAACGTGAGCAAATTGTGTGGGCGTCAGTGCACTAGTGTATATCTGCCTGACGCTCCATATATCCGCCAGGTAGGTATCATTCACACGAATATGCATTTAGTATATCGTCTAGAACCCTGCTGAACATATACGCATCCCTCCTCATAATCTAACAGCATGTTTTGCAGATCACTTGCGACTGTTCTGCACAAACCTAAATGTATTTCATGGTTCACAAAACACTTCTCTCTATTAAAACCTTATACCATGTTAATTTGTCAACTTTATAAAATGAACCAGAGGAATTTACACAGTGGCGTTTGTTTGGGAAGGGAGCTAACTCTTAGAATAAGAACATTTGAAGCAGTCAAACTCTTCCCAAATAAGGTGAAGTTCAGGAAGTGAACAAGGCTTTTGATAGCCTGTGTAAGTGAGATGGTTCTGTATGAAATTATTATGAAATCACTCATCGCTTTGAAAAGCATTACTGTATAACAGGTTTAGTTTAGAATATGTAACTTTGAAACACAGAAAATGTGAATTATCTGTATTTGTTTTGCCTGATGTTGTAATTTACCAAGGCAGTTAACAACTTGGTCATCTTACTTGATAAGACATTCGTACAAATTGTAAATATAGCTCTCATTAAGCATCCTGCAAAGAAGAATAGTATTACAAGTGTTGCTGACAGATTGGCTTGCCCTCATTTCGCCTACACCTTATTTCGCCTACAATAATTCAAATGCTTACTTGCCTCATCCCTATTATATGAATGGGCATTGTCCATCTCAGGCTGTTAACTAATCCAATCTGTAATCTAATCCAAGCGGCATAGAGGTTCAAAGTGAAGTTTTTACAACCTATGACAACTTCTCACAACTCTTGTTTGACTTGGTCATTCTGTTAATCCTTACATGTTTTGAATGTGCAAGTAAATCTTGTTTATTAAATAAATCATATTTAATAAATAAGGTGTAAAGAAGCCTATCATCGCTTCTCACATTGTTTGTAATTGTTACAAATTGGTTAATTCTTAGTATTGGTTTAATTAAAGGAAATTAGATGTCTGCTCAATTGTTGAACTGTTATTGTTGTTATTATTGCATTGGTATATATGTACCTGACCTATCAGCTTCCAAAACCTAACAACTAAATGCAGTAAAGACCTAAACACCCTAAGATGCCTAACTGGCTCTAACTGGGGAGCCTCCAAAGACACCCTCCTCTCTCTCTAATTAGATCAAAACTAGACTACGGCTGCGCCATATACAACACCCTAAACAACTCTCTGTCTAAAAAACTTGACTCAATACAATATCAGGCTCTCAAACGAATTACACGCACCCAACATGGCACCTCCTACACCTCACTTCAGGCCTTAACAGGAGAAATGCCACTAAGTCTACGCAGGGAACAGCTGAGCTTAAATTTCTGGGCCGCGTCCCAATCAAACCCTCTCATCCAAAACTTAATAAACCAAAACATCAGCCCCAAAAACCAAGCTCTAGCTCGTAAACACCCCTTACTTACCCCAATATCCCAAAGAATAACAAACTACCTAAATGAACACCAAATTAAAAATCTTAAACGAAACTGCAAACAATCAAATATCTTCACCCCTAAACTTAAAATACCCAAAATAGACACAACACTAGCTAGCCAAATAAAAAAAAAACCGACCCAAACATAGCTAAAACTACCACACTAGCATACATACACGAAAATTGGCCAAATTGGTGTCACATTTACACGGACGGATCCTCAGATTCCGACCTCCAAACACACAGGTTTCGGAGTCCATACCACACAACCAACTAAAACCACACAATCCTTCCGACTCCCAAACAACCAATCAATATTCACGGCAGAACTAATGGGCATGGCCTCAGCCCTCGATAATCAAGAATCCAAAAACCACCAAAAAAAATCCTAATACTCACCGACTCCCTAAGTGGACTGCAAGCCCTCCAAAACAAATATACCAAAAACCGACCTAAATTAATAAATCAAATACTTAAAAGCTCCAACGACCTAACTAAGGCAGGCAAACAAATAACCTTCTTGTGGATACCCGCCCACGTAGGAATATACGGTAATGAAAACGCCGATAAAGCAGTTAAACTATCCCTCAAAATCCCAGAAATAAGCTTAAACTTACCCATCTCAAAATCAGAAATTAAAAGTGTAAGCAAGCAAAAAATCACAAAAAATGGCATAACCGATATCTAAACTCAAATAGCCAAATCAAAAAAGTGCTCAGCAAACCACTAACCAAACCAAACATTCTCCATCCATCAAAAAAACTCGACAGAGTAATCACTAAACTCCAAACAGGACACACCAACCTAAATAACCACCTAAAAAAAATAAAAAAACACACTACAGGTAACTGCCCACATTGCAAACAACCAGAAACCCCAGAACACGCACTCATCCACTGCACACACTACCTAACACATCGAACCGCATTACAAACCACCCTCAATCTAAACAAGGCTCTCACTCTAGAAGCAATACTAAACCCACAAAATAAACTAGAAAACTTCAAGGCCTTAGGCGTATTCTTAATAAAAACGGAACTAATAAAACGCATCTAAAAACACAATAACCTACCAAATCAAAATCACATAAACAAACAAACATCCACCATACCCAGCTCCCTTAGTTCTCCTCCCCAACCCCATCGGCATCTATTCCAAATCTCAAAATTCCCAAATTCTATATAAGCAACCCCTAAACCCCCCTCTTGGGTTGCACAGACCACTTTCGCCCCTTTCGGAAGCACTTTAAATGGCCTGGCCGGGCCCGTGTGCGAAATACGCATCAGTCGGAAAGCGCATGTTAAATCTCCAAAGTAAGTAAGTAAGTAAGCTTACTAGTCCCGTGTGCGAAATACGCATCAGTCGGAAAGCGCACGTTAAATCTCCAAAGTAACTAAGTAAGTAAGCTTACTAGTCAGCATCAAAATGGCAAATCTTCAGAGAGCGGAGTTTGTAACATCACAAAGACGTGGCCAGCAAGTATTTTATGCAGGCTATAGATACAGACTGAATGTCAAGCGTCAAGTTGCTGTTCACTGGAAGTGTGTCCACACAAGTTGCAATGGTAGACGCAGCACTATTGCAGAACACGTCGTGTCTACAACTCCTCACAACCACCCCCCTGTAGAGAATGAAGAACACATCAGAGTCAATGGTCGACTCAAGCAGCGTGTCCAGACCGACATTTCTCCTGTACAGCAGATATACAACGCAGAACTGGATCAACTTGATGAAGAAGTAGCTGCGACTGCCCCTTCTTTTGCAAGTGTTCAAGCTTCCCTGTACAGAAACAGAGCCAAGACTATTCCACAAGTTCCAGAAACCAGAGCAGCAGTCAACTTGGAAGGAACGTGGACACAGACAGAAGATGGAAGAGACTTTCTGTGCATCAATGACGGGGAAGACGACAGACTACTGGTGTTTGGTACCACTGAGATGTTAGAAATCATGAGTGACTCTGACAGTTTGTTTATGGATGGTACTTTTTTTGTTTGTCCTAGCTTGTGACTCCAAGTGTATATTATTCATTGTCTTGTAAATGGTAAAATGTATCCTGTTGCTTTTTCGTTGCTTCCTAACAAGACCAAACAGACATATGTTAGACTATTTAGGTTGTTGAAGGACACAGTAGGAACCAGAACTGGTACTGAACTTTCTCCAGAGGTGTTTCAGACTGATTACGAGTCAGCAGTCATAAGTGCCATTGCAGAGGTTTTTCCTGATAGTTATGTGAGGGGTTGTCTGTTTCACTATTCACAAGCTTTGTGGCGTCAGGTAGTTGAGAGAGGTCTTGTACGAGAATACACGAACAATCCAGCAATTCAGTCCCATGTTCGACGTGCCGCAGCCCTGCCACTTCTCCCACTTGACAAGGTACAGAATGCATGGGTTGAGGTGATTGAGCAAGGACCTGATGATCAACAGATTGGTGATTTTAACGACTATGTCACCAGCACATGGGTAGATGACGACGCTAGATTCCCCTGCCATATTTGGAACCAGCACGACAACACCGGTCCCCGATCCAACAACCATCTGGAAGGGTTCCACTGTGGACTGAAAAAGAGAATGCCCCGATCTCACCCTAACATCTATCAGTTCTTGAAGGAGATCAAGAAGATTGAAAGGCAGGCAGACGCTCCAGGAAACAAATTGATCTTGGAGGATCATGCAGACCCCGAGCTCGTGTTGAGAGACAAAGGGACGAAAGAATTGAAAGACACAGCTTCTTAGTGGAAGAAAAACTGTAATGCAATTTCTTGATGCCGTTGGATATGTACTAAAGCTACAGTAATCATGAGTCATTATTATTATTACTGCATAATGTAAATATCAGCTATTAAACAATGTATGAAGCTTCAAGATTGTCTTGTCCGTTTAACCTTCTTTTGGGTCAGTTCATTATTTTAGAGGTAACACAGCACTTGACTTATGTGCAGTCAGCTGTAAATTTGTTTTGATAAGGGTGTAGGCGAAATGAGGACAGGCCGACAGAATGCCGTGGATCCCTCGAAGCCATTGCACTTACAACCTGGTGGAATCCATTGATAACATCAAAAGGGGACTCGTGTATGCTCTCTAGCTGCACGAGTATGACGCAAACAAGCAAGCCTCAATTTGGGATGCGAGCCATAGGCAACTCATAAAAAAATGTTAAACACATACCATATAGATTTAAGGAGTGTATGCACATTTTGATCCGACTGCTTTGCATGTATAATTTTCCATTATGTCAAAATTTATATGCATGATAAAGTTAATATCTTTTTGTTGGCTATCTGTCAAAATACCATGCATGGCGGTATCCTACAACGTATTGACTGGACACAATCAAGTACATACAGACAACATTAGACCCGTAATGCCTCTGGTCACGAAATCGTGTAATCTTCCACTAATTTGTGATATTTATAAAGCGTGACAAAGCACCAATATGACATTTCCCATGCATTGTAAGCAATGGTGAGAGGTAATGTGATCCACCGCATTATACCGTCATCAGCGTATAAGGATTACGATCAAAGACAATTCCCACTTCAGCATTCAACATAAAACTAAAATAGATGACAAACAGACCGTTAAACGATATGTTCTGTAACGGTTCATAACCGTCGCCCTCTTCCTGTTTTTCATACACAGTTAGGTTGTACTCTGTGACACCAGGTCGGGGTTGTGGAGGATCCCATGTCAGAGTTATCTCGCTTGATGACTTGCTCCGTGCCGTGAAGTTTGTAGGTTTACCAGCAGCTGAAATATATCTGTTTTGTATGAGTGGTGAAGAATTTATCTACTTGAGAGAGAGAGCAAAGGAGGCCCGGCCCAATCATTCTTTATTAAGCATATAGAGTCGGAATCTGTACTTCATTCTATACTGCGTACTATATGTCCTTTGTTTTTTCATTATCACATTAATTATTTTTAGTGGTAAACATTGATATGTTCATGCTTTTATCAAAGAGCATTAATCGTTATTTTTTATTGTTTAATGATTATTTGTCTGTTTCTTTGTTTGTTGTTTGACGCGGCTCTCACCAATATTCCAGCTATATGACGGATGTCTGTAAGTAATCGACCAGACAATCCAGTGATTGACACCATGAGCATCGAGCCACGCAATCGGAATACGATGACATGCATCAACCACGTCAGCGAGCTTGACCACCCGATCCCGTTAGACGTCTCTTACGACAAGCACAGTCGCCTTTTACGGCAAGCACGGGCTGCTGAAGACCTATTCTACCCCGGATCTTCATGGGTGATTGTGTAATAAAGGTGCATGATTAACACGGAAAGCCCCAATACAATTGAATGTGTGGGAATTATATGCAAAACACCTCACATTCAGACGGGGGAATAATTGGCCTTCACGAGAGGTGCGGCCTAAAAGAACCAGCAACTATCGCTATTTGGGTCTGATTTTCATCTCCCCTCTTGAATTGCACAGTGCAATTTCAGATTTAGCTTCCTGAAACAAGGGCTCTGTTGGAGGTGACAAACGATAGTAAGCAAACTTATTTCAAAATACATTAGAGAAAAGAGGTTTAACCTATCCTGCTTTATGGCTACAATGTTTGGATTATCAGCAATATGATAAATAATATTTTATTTTAAATAATAAAATGTTAACATGGTGAATGGGTTGCATTCAACACGATGTAAATTCAACTTTTGCAATATATTCAAATTTTGCAATATAATGCAATTGATAATAGCTTAGATGAACAAAATGCACTGAACTGGAATACCCAAGGAAAATATTTCATGTCACTCAACAGTGAGAAATGGATCTTCGGATATTGGTATGGTTTTATGGTTTTGGGTGTGTAAGTTACATAATACGTTGGTGACAAATCGCGACCGGCTTTCACGTAAGTGTTTAAGAGATTTAATTGTACACGTTTATTAAATCTTAGGAAGCTGAATTAACAAAAGCTCAACGTGTGTTTTGGATAGGGAATATAAAAAGGTTGTTTGGACCAGAGAAATGTTTAACCGTTCTGAATGTCAAAGCATTTCGCAATCTAATCACTAGATTGATATCTGTTTTTCTGAGATGTCGGTATGTGTGTTTATGACGCTGTATGGTTGTTATGAACTGTATGTACCAATTGTATAACATGATCATATCTGTTGTCTACATCAGGCAATAACATATGATATGGTTTTAAGTAATAAAAGGCATTCACACTGCCGATATCGTCATTCAATATTTGAAAGTGTTACTCATTGACACCGATGTTCATTTGCATACGGGCCAGAGGCCTTACAATCATAACTAATATTCTGTGCAGTTCAAGTATATAAAATGATGCATGTTTTACAACAACAGACACATTGAAAGTTGCACAGGTAACATTACAACAAACACAGACACACGTACAGTGACATAAACACACATACAGACACACAAACGCACATAATTCATAAGCAAAAAATCAAACTTCGCCTCACCTTCCTCGGGTAGGAGTACATTAACTTGGGATGACATTCCTTGTCCCTCTTGATTGACAGCTACTACATTTATGCTGTAGGATGTATCAGGGTTCAGGCCTGTTATATTGTGCTGTATGAGGTGGGCGTATTTATCTATGTCAGCCTGAGATATCACCACTGTCATGGTTGTTGTACATTCCAGCTGTGGCATGGTCTGTACAAATGTTAAACATGTATGTCATCAGCATCTTGTGAAGACTTCTTATAATGTGGAAACATACCTTGCCTCTGTTGACAAGAATCAAACTGTAAACGCTGCACTCTGCAGATGTTATATATTTGATGGTGTTTTTTCTCAGCAGATGAACGTCTTAGAAATTTAAGTGTTACATTATGACGAGTGGGAGCACAGTGTCTGTTTGCAATGAGTAACGGACTCTTACATAACAGTGAATCTAGTACATATTTTTGACGCTTGTTTACCATATTTCTACTACATTCAGTGCAGTTGACGATGATCTGCTTCACACACTTTGAAGGAGAGCCTGTCCTCACGTCAACAATGTACTCATAGATATCCCCGTTAGGGTTGAGTGGTCTGTGCCATTCCACAGCAATAGAGCGGGAAGTGTTGTCAAACGACGTCAGATTGGTAACTCTTCCGGCAGCTGAAGACATAATCAACTTGTACTTGCTACATAATCAATATAAAGCTAGACTGTTCACGATGAACCGATTTTCATTGCCCCATTACAGTGTTGAGTGCGTAAAGAATGTTGATAACTACATAAAAGTTTATTTTAAGACAAAAAGCGGTGTCATAGAATATAGACTAGTTCTTTTAGATTGTAAAGAGTTTGAGTACACTTTTAACGGAGCATACATGAAATTACTATGCCAATGACATACATTCGTATATATATATATATATATATATATATATATATATATATATATATATATATAATTTTTTAATTTGAAGTTTACACGATATACGGCTTTTCCATTGGACGAGAGGTCGGTCACATGACCGCGAAATTGACGTTCATAAGTGTATGAACGACACAATTTGACGTTCATTCGTTTTTCACGAAACCGTGTTCTTGAAATGACGTAAACACTGACGGACTACTTCCACATTCCTGGGGAAACCCCTGGGAATTCCCTAAAACGAAAACATGCATAAGCGTTCTTTCTGATCATTTAGAACCTTTATTCTTGGTCTCAGCGTTTCAGTATACATTGAGAACTGCGGGGAGCGTGACTGCATGATTGTTCACGAATATCCTCGCTACGGCCCACCCTAATGAACAAACGAAGAAATGCACATCTAAACTATCGTAGTATCGACTCGATCCGTGCCGCAGCGTTAGAAATTGGCACTAGTCCTGTAGTCCTTACCAAACTGCCCAATAGTAAAGGTATCCTAAGGACTAGTAGAAATTTGCCCGTTTTAAGGGTTTTGCTATATGTTATCATCATAAGGACTAGTAGACAAAAACTGTTAGTTTCTAACCCTGGACCGTCTCCAGCAATCCATGTATTTACCTTTGTGTCTGTTTGACGCATCTTTATTCACCTTTCAATGATCGGCCAGTTGATCAGTGATGACTAACACATGTAACCGCCACAGATTCATTACCAACTTCGGAAATCTCTCCCGTCACGTTTATCGTGTCGGCCATTTTGACGTCTTGTACATGATGTAAATGTATTACGACGCTGTCATTGTGACTAACTTACTGAGGTAGTTCTCTACAGACCTTTCTCATCTAATGAGGATATGATTTGAACACATGTGCTGCTTAAGATGTTTCTGAAGAGCAAGTTGTGCATCCATACGCCCATGTCACCTCTCTTTTTGAGGAACTATTTTACTCCGCGATATAGCTGGTTGTTGTATGGCTGTCAGTGTAAACATGTGAAGTCACACGTACTAAATAAAATTGTGTTTAGATCTTGGCCTACATCCTTTGAGGTAAGAAATTGTGATAAAAAAATTATAAGAATTGACTTTCACTTTGTGTGAGTTCATTGGAGTATGAACCTTCATAGAGTGAGGGCCAAACATTGTATGAACGTCGTCGCACAAAGTGAAGGTCAATTCTTAAATATATATATATATATATATATTTTATAACTGATTTGAGGTGAACGATGGATGAATGATTTGTAAATGATGTATGAATTATGATTTTACAAACAGATTATAACATTATAGCATATACATGTACACAGAGTGTTCATGTCAGTTATAGCTGAATAACATATGGTTGAAATGTACAGTTTTGGAAGGTCATCAGAAACAATTCGAAAATTTGTTGGATGTTCCGTTTTAAACGTTACATCATTCATAGATTAAACGTTACAATTCAAAAACTTAAGTGTTTTGCACCAAAAATGTGCAAAAAAAATCAGAATACTTACGTTTTGCTTGTGCCAGTATCACAGTGGTATATGGTGAACTAAGGAGGTTCCCACTCTGTGTTTGTATGGTCAGGTTGTACGACACAGCTGGGACAATACCAGTGAAGACGACAGAGATTAGGTCCTGTCCACTGCCGTGGGGAGGTTCATGTCTTTGGTTATATGTATCTCCATCCAGCCCACTGAGTGTCACAATGTACTTGTCTGCATCCCCATCGGCCTTGGCAAACACAATGGTGATATCTGGAGCTGTCCTGTTGGTTTTGCTGTCCAGGTCCACGATGGAAGCCGGTTCTGAAATGTGGTAGCATGGTGGGAGTGTTCTGGAGATGACTTGGTGTCCCACCAATAACTTGATTGTAAATGGCTGTCGAGACATGGATCTCACAAACAGATTTAGAATTAAGTGATTCTGACCTTGAACATTTACACTTATTATATATCAAATGACAGTTACATCGGAAATAGTGTTTCCCCGATAATATGGCCATATCTATGGTCTAGTCTGAACGTTATCCCCAGAGACTCTAGTCGCTAGCCTCGACCTCAAGTCATATTATAGCCCACACACTACGAATATATAGAGTCTATGTAGTTACCAGTTGATGTCATGTATAACGAACACATTCACATGTACGTGGACATAACAACCTATGCAAGAATGTGAGTTGCATATGTCCCCGGTGGGATGTATGTTATTTTACGAACTAAATGGGTCTGTACACACTGAGGCCGAAGGTGATGCGCTAACCAACTTGTATGAGTTTTTACAAGACGATGATTAACAGTTCAAGTAATGGCAATAATTTTGCCATGTTAATACACAATGCCATTTAGAAGGTGGTCAAATGTAACAAATGGTATATTTGGGAAAACCTTTTCTCAGTAAAGTATAAATTCATCCGGTATTCGAACCAACACTGTCAGAGTGAGGCGCCAAATCGCCAGCACACAAAGTCAGCGATCTACACCCACTCAGCCACTGAGGCCTCCACAGGGAACCCAGAAAGTGTTATCCCAAATATAATAGTTCTTACATTTGACCACATTCTAAATGACATTGCGTATTCACTGCTTTCGTCCATGGGAACCGTGCCAATTTTGACTTGTCAGAGGGGTATACAAAGAACGTGATCTAGACTACCAGATGTCGGAATTTATCAAATCCTGAGAGTGAAAACACTGAATCTTAATTCTGTGCAGGACTTTACTCTTACAGCCACATTAGATTACATATTTACAAACAGCTAATGCTTACAGCCAGGTCAGTTGGTACAATGCCAAGTAACCCATATCATATACGGTTCTCTTTCAGTTCAACATCTTAAGCTTGTTCTATTTCCAGTTCACAGGATGAAGCGGATAATAAGAATTCTGTTCTGTGATTTCGATCGGGATTGGTTTTTGTGAGAGACGAAATACATTGTCGGTCTTGCTTTAAAACATGCATTCTTCTGTTGCATTTTCCTGGAGGTGGTTTCAGAGACATGCATAGGCGCTAGAAGGTTAACAACCGTGTCATCCTACCGGGTACCCATTCACTGCTAGGTGAACACTTCAGGTCACTTGAAAACAGTTACAGATTTTATCATTTCACTCGCCTGCTGTATAGTAGCTGTCTGGGACGTTGGACTGCGCCTTTACTAGAAAGTTGTTGGGACGGGGTATCAAGCAGGTAAACAACAGTTATTTTACATACACTATACTAAATACTTTAAGCGGGTATACCATTTACAACATACATGTATAATCTATAATGGGACATTTACAGCTCTGTATAATATAAACTGCCGATCAAAAGAGATTATTCATTGTTAGATTGTGAATAGATGTAATACCTTGGAAAGAAAACTGAATTTAACAGGTAGAAATCAATTGACCAAACACACCCAACATCTGACTGTTTGAGGTCTGTGCATTTTGCGAAAAATGCAGATTTTTGTGATTATAGCACGATATCAAAATAAAAATGCAGGGTATAAAAAGGATGCAGTTGGTTCCCAATACATCAATGCTAGTAAAGTCATGCCAAGGTTATAAGCAGAGCGGAGAGAGAGGAGTGTTGGGATGTCTATGATTGGGGCTACACAGTTCTATATTGCAAGAACGTTCGGGTTCAGCCGACTGACAATTGTCATACAGCTTCAGCAATTACACCAAACTGGGCACACCTAGCAGCGGACCACGTCTCTACCACACAAGAGGACGTATCAATATTATTGTTGCCCTTGCCGTCACGCTCACCCAAACTCCCACTGACAGAACATATCTGGGATCACACACACACACACACACACACACACACACACACACACACACACACACACACACACAGAGTTATGATTCTTGCTTTGTCAGCACCATTTCCGTGTTCTCTTGGGTTTATGCCAAAGTATGAGGTATCTAAGGCACACGTCATTCCAGGCGTCCCGTCATATTTGGCTCACACTCTGTGATATAACTAAAATATTGTGTTGTATAATAAAACGGCGTTAAAAGCAAATTACACTTATTACACTTATTGTTTCTTCAAAGAAAGTTAGTGACTCTTTCTATAATAATAAATAACTCATAATGTTATACATGGGATAACACTTTCTCCGCTAAGTACAGATTCTAGTACCTGTTTGGTACTAAAAATGCCACAATGCCAAAGTGAGGCACCTAACCTATTCAGCCACCGAGGCTTCCACAAAATGAAAGTCAAACAACTGATAGTAAAGATAACGTACTTTGTGTTCCCCTCTGATGAATGTAAATTAGCACGGCTCCCATGGCCGAAAGTTTTGAACATACAATGCCATTAAGAAAGTGGTCAAATGTAACAAATGTTATATTCTGGAAAACACTTTCTCAGGAAAGTACATAGTAAAGTCCGACAACTGGTAGTTTAGATCACGTACTTTGTGTAGCCATCTGGTACAGAAGTTATAACCCTTGACGAACACCTTTGATGCAAAAACACTTTATCTCACATAACAAGACTGAGATATAGTTCCCCAACTGAGGTGTTGTAGCTGTGAAAAATACTATAGCAAATACATCGTAGCTAAACTTATTGTTGTTAAAAAAGATTTACTAGACACACATAAATGCTTGTTACCTGATCCAAATATTTGTCGAATAAGATAGATGAGGTGAGGTGATCATGCGGTGAGGTGTGATTGTATCCCAACCACAAATGAACAGAAAAACGTCAATGTGAACTATACATACTTGTTCGTTTTGGTACTGCAAGTACAGCGGTCGTCTTTTCATCGCGTCCCTGCAGGTACATGTAGGTGATCTTTGTCTTCACAGACACAGTGTACTGTCTCCCCGGCGTCAGGCCTGTGATGGGCGTGGTCCTGATGTCTCTGTCCACACTGATTGGAGTGATGTCCCCTGGTGTAACATTCACCTCATACCCGGTAATGACGGCGTTAGATGGAGCTGTCCAGGATGCTGTCATGGTGGTTGTGTCCTTTACGTAGGCCGTCACAGAGGCAGGCTTGAGTTTTTCAACTGTGTTGAAATGAACAGAAACAGCACACACTGGTGAAGTCAACTATCTTTCATGAATCGAGATTAATACGTGTGTGTGTATGTGTGTGTGTGTGTGTGTGTGTGTGTGTGTGTGTGTGTGTGTGTGTGTGTGTGTGTGTGTGTGTGTGTGTGTGTGTTTAAAGCACGCCACACATCTATTGTTTTGGACTCCCAATTACATGACACATTATGAATCATTTTCCACCATTCCACGAAGTGTGTGACGAACAAATAGTGTTTAAATAAATGGAATATTTAATGTAGAAATCTTTCGATTTTATATGGAAGACAGTATCGAGGTGACAACTTAAAGTTGGAAAAGGATATAGATTTTGTTAGGTGAGGTGAGGCGACAAGGGGCTGACATCGCGTTCAAGATAATTGCACCTATATAACGACGTCCATCCGTGTGTGCGTGGCTGTTTGTACTAGTCCGGACTAGTGCCGATTTATAGTGCTGACCCAGTGAGATACCATGCCACAATTTAACATGAATACCGCACTCAGACACAGTATACTGACTCCGAGCCGACCAGTCTTTGTTTTAGCCCATCTTTAAACGAATTTTGGTATTACGCGGCCGGGGATCAAACCCACGACCTTCCGTTCTCCGGGCAGACCCTCTACCACCAGACCTCGGAGGCGGTCTGATATCGATTTTGTGCTGCAGACATGTGACGTACGCATGTGGTATCTCACCACCTTTTTATTCACCACGTGGGGTAATAATGGTATTTAGTAGGACACTGAACAAGCTTCAAATGGCTTTAAGCTATACTTGAATATCATGAATATTTGAATTTTGAAGAATAAACAAGAACAATGTAGGCAAACCCTAAGAAGACTTGTTTAGTGAAAGCAAGCGGCTATGTTTAGTTGATGTCGATGCTGCATGTTGAATGGATACTACATATAGATACATATAGTCGTATTAACCACTTACTGCTGGAACAGTCCGTAGCTCGGTAGTATCCCTGATCACAGCGACAACTACCACTGTAACAGTTGGTACGGGCATCGATACACAAGCCAAGTTGTGAGCAAGGTTCATTGTAGGCGATCTCTGAAATCAATGATTAGGTTGGTTAGGTTGTACGATTGCGCTCATAACAAAATGGTAGACGGTAATAATAAATTAGTTCGACATGTGATGATATATGTGTGTGTGTGTGTGTGTGTGTGTGTGTGTGTGTGTGTGTGTGTGTGTGTGTGTGTGTGTGTGTGTGTGTGTGTGTGTGGAGGGGTTGGTGGAGTGGGTGGGGTTTGTGTTTGGGTGGGTCCCCTGTGTGTGCGGGGAGGGGTTTGTGGGGTTGTGGGTGGGTGGTGGTGGGGGTGGGGTGGGGGTGGGGGTGGGGGTGGGGGTGGGGGTGGGTAGTAGTGTTCCTGGAATCAATTTGAATTGTCCCCTACAATTCTTGAAAAATAATTATGCTACGGATTATTGAAAAATATAATTTGCCTGCCAGAAAACGTACATTGTTGCACGCTTTTTTCTCCATGCAAAATACCCAGCTCTCTCCCCCCCCCCCCCCCCCCCCCCCTAAATATCCTTTGGCCCGAGATAATCGTCGGACTCCTGCCAAACAGTGTGATGATATATGTGATAGCAACTTCAGTTCCTGAAAACAGGGTCTGTATGATGTAGTTTTTCCGTGGTGTAGAGGCAGATATATTTGATCTCGAGTCAAGCAGTGAAAACAACGATTTAAATATTAAACGTCAATGCCAGAGAATAACCAGTCACGATTATCCGCCTAAACAGATCCCAATGGGAGTAAAAGGCAAAATAGCAGTCAAGATTACACGAATGGAGTGATGAAACCGGGTGTTCGAGAAAAGGATAAGCATATCTATCCTGCCCCACAAACAATACCCCCACCACAGTAACTTAGCTACTTGTAGTTAATGTAAGTAAGTGTCACATTTACTGGTTGTAATATTCCTTTGGACCGAGGTAATCGTCTGACTCCTGCCGTACTGTGTGATGGTATGTGCAACTGTGACTGTATACACTGTTCCTGAATACAGGGACTGAATGTTGTAGGTCTTCTGTTGTGTAGAGGCAGTTCCTGGTGATCCTGGTGATCCTGGAGATCCCGGAGACCACACTACCGTGTAGCTGTAGGAGTATCCTCCAGTGACATCTGTATTTGTCCAGCTGATATAAATAGTGCCTGTTCCTATGGTTGGTGGGTCTGTGATGACTGGTCGTAACACACTAGCTGAAAGTATTCATGATCACATCGATTAGTGAAATATCTAACATCGATAATTATCATCAACGAGGTTATTGGATATAATGGATTAATGTTCGCCTTAGATTATTACTGAAATGTCCTGTCATATTTGTTTCCACCACAACTTCATAACGTGCAAGTGTTGCTGTCCATCCTCCACTTGTGAAGATTCTGACATAAAAAATAATGCATTAAGAAATACCTGACGGACAGTGCAGTTTGATCATTAATCTGAACATTTTTCAATTATTATGAATAAAATTTTGAAGAAGACGTGTTTAGTGTGCTCTCTCCCCCACCACCCCCATTCATTTAAAGTCAGATATTTTCCGCCCATAATATAATGCTAGGTATTGTCAATGTGGCTACAGTCTACTTCACACGCTCTATATTTACTATTCATAATGCTGTTTGCGACTACAGTCCTACAATATTCTTCATGCACCAAGGGTTCACTGAATGTGGCCGCTTTGAAGGACGCTGTCAGACAACTTTCCACTTGGTTCAAGGAAGGCTACGCTTATTTGCAATAGGAAGTTCAAGACTGAAAATATTTCAGCGATAAATGCCGTTATGCTGCTGTGAAATATTGTGTGCGGTTTACTACCAACCTTTTATTGCTTCGAGACTGACAGTATTTCAATAGAAGGAAGTGTAAGTAGCAACATGCAACATTTGTTAAATGTTGGTGTCCTGCAAACAAACAACAACTAAACCTGTGGTAAAGGCAACAAAAACAGGAAACAAAACTCACACAAACAAATGTTTGTGTATTAAACAGAGTGGTGTAGGTATGATAACTCACATATTCCTAATATTGGTAAAAATGTTATCTATAAAAGTTGAAAATATCTCCAGCTGATCCCATTGAAGTATCGAATGCATGCCTATTCTTGGCAGATATTGGGAACTTAATAAATATAGTTTTACATGTTAATGAGATGAATGGACCTCTGTAGACACAAGGTGTTCCCGTAAAGGGTAAGCATATCCTACTATGCCGGTAGCACACGCCACTCTCACTATGTATATAAAAAACGTAAGTGTTTGTTTTGTTGCCGCACACCCCACATTAGTGACCCTGTAAAACGACTACGGCTTGTAAACAATCGTGTCTTGATCATACAATGAAGTGACACGAAAGTGTGTTTACGTTTTTTGTTGAAACTATAAACGACATAAAACTTGTAAATATTCTGCTGCGTGCAAGTGATGCTAACAGTAATTATATGTGTATACCCTTCATTGTTTCTGTAAATAACGACGTTTAATCCTGTATTCTAAATACCAAGTAACATAAGCGGTGTGATAAAAGGATATCGTGAATGACTAACAGAGTGGGTTCAGGTCTTAGTTTTGAGCTGATGGTAACACATCTGTACTGCACGCCACGTTTCAAAAGAATCCACGTCTTTTTAATGACTGTTCTCCTGAACAGCTGAGTGGGGATAAAAGATACTCCACAACTGTGAAATTGGTATTTTAATAGTATACAAAATGAAGTTGTTTCCTTTAACAGATATCTGGAACTTTATTTCCACGTTGGTTTACACTAGAGCTCAGTCTTGCCATGTCACAAACCACAAAGGCCTTATTTTATATGTATAGATATAAATGAGAGTTAAGCTATTTACATGTTATGATATGTTTGGCATTTGATGAAATGGTAACACCTGTCGTATATTGGTGCAGAACCAAAAACAAAGAAACAAAGTCATGACGGCTTCTATCATATACTGAGGATGGCGTCATCCACATACACTGATGACGTCACGCACAGTAGGCGTGACAATGTTGTAGTGTAAACAATACCACGTGTTTCTACAGCACTAAATAACATGAAATTGGTTGATGCATGTTGATACATGTCATCGTATCCCAATTGTGCGGATAGGTGCTTATGATATCAATCACTGGATTGTCTGGTTCAGACTTGATTATTTACGGACCGCCGTCATAGAGCTGGAATATTGCTGATTGCGGCGTTAAAAAACAACAAACAAACAAACATTCGGGTGCCATCACCTCGAGAATGTCCTTTTCCTATTTTACCTCATCTGACACATGTCATATATTAAACCTTTCACTCACATCCGTACATTCGTTATTTCCATTGACATGGATGTAGTGGAATTTGACATATGACTCTTTGACGTCCTACCAAGCAATCTCACTCCCAGCAGAAATATTTTACCTCCAGTTATTAGTGTCATAATCAAACAAATCGACTGGGGAAAAAAATGCTAATCAAATGGTACAATGATCTGTCAACACAGACATTTCTAACACTTCGATTTTTGGGATAATGTGATACTTTAGCTGAATTGAACAAGGACAGAAATGAAAACACTTTAAAATTGTAGACGTGTATATTTATAATATACATGCAACACAAGCTGTAGATTACCAACACATCAAATCTTTACACAGGCAGATCTAATCAGTTCTACATACATGTACATGGCCAGATATATACGAACGTCCTCATTTTGTTTAACGCTAAATGGTAAAGTATTACTTTTATCTAGTACATGTATCCTAGGTAGACGTTGGTGCTCTACCGGATAATTCTCTTATTACAACACACAAGTCCGTCTGTGGGTCCACAACGTTTATTCTTGATCTTACTATATCTATATAACTACATAGTAGTATGGCCAAGCAGGATCTCTGAGGCGTGATAGAGCCAACCTGCCTAGCCGCTGTCCGAGGGTCAAGTCTCGACTAACAGAAAGCGTACTATCTTTAACCCTCACTGTCAGACTGCCATGTATCGTGTTACGTTACATACATGGTCAGCCTGCAGTATCCCGCACCTCATCCACAAAGTTAAGCTTCAGTGGCCAACCGGCCATTCTCTGGCATTAACTACAACCAGCTGACCCGCACATGACTCTGTGATGCTGGCCATGGTAATGATACCCCAGCTGCTGTTATAATTTGTATTGGCAGCACTCTGTTTATTTAAATAGATATAATCAACTTACTTAATTAAGGGAATATATAAAACGTATATACACTCCCTGTTAAAACATATAGACTCCCTGTTAAAACCTATATACCCTGCCAAACTGCCTATGATAAATGCCATTTCTGTAAAGAAGGACGTGTCCCACGTCCTTATAAGGAATTGGGAATGAGGTACGGTGGACAATCAATCAATATAACCACATATTTAAAACAATGTGAAATGTATAAACAAGCAAAAAGTACATAAAGCAATTTTCTTTCTTTTTTTTAAACTGGACAAAATTTAAACTGAGAATTTGATGTAATGTACAGCATTTTGTGTGTGGACCACGATTTATTTTTTTTATCTACAAACACTGCTGTCGAACTGGATACAATTTCACACAGAAATATTTCCAGTAACGACAATATGACTACATACGTACAATGAATACAGTGGTTACATCGGTGCATTGCTATCCATACGGACAAGGAAGTTACACGTTACAAATATACCAATACATGAATATGTACAATGAAAAAAAATGAACAAAGACATTGATGACTATAACAGCGGTTGTTCTGTCTTGTTCTTATTCCCTCTTCTCGTTATTTCCACTCCTCACAAATAACGCTTTCACTTATGCTCTGCTTCACTCACTTTCTTTCATTCTATTTTTCTTGTCAGTTCATAATTCCCATGCGGACAAACACTTCATTCACCCAATTCTACATTTGTCCTTCTCTCGCGCTTACACTTCACCTCTCTCTGTCTCTGTTTCGCACCCACGCTATATCCTCTCACTCTCTGTTTCTGTTTCTCTCTCTCTCTCTCTCTCTCTCTCTCTCTCTCTCTCTCTCTCTCTCTCTCTCTCTCTCTCGGACCCACCCTATCTACCATACATGTCAGTTTTTCTTTTGTATTCTGTCATTTTTTTGTTCATTTATCCTATCAGCAGCTATCTTACTCCTTCACTCTCTCTCTCTCCACTTTACAGTACATAAGACAAGCCTATTCTAAACCTACTTTCAACACACATTTATACTTCAAACAGGATTGACATTTTTCATAAATAGACAACAGCTCACATAGGGAATATATATGCATTCATTTTCAATGATGTATTAAGAATCACATAGGGACAGATAATCGTAACTACTCATTTCCAACCCCCGCTAGCAAAGGGCCTATAATTGGTAAGAGCAGTTACTAAGGAACACCAAATGAAAGATAATGAAAGATGATACGTCTGAACACCTGTTAATGGCTAGTAGACATGTGAACATTACATAATGATATTTGAACACTCACAAAATGATGCACTATTCCACAGTCATAATCCATATATTACGTAAAAATCCAGACATCTTGCATAAAATACACTGTTGTTAATGATGTAATAACTTCAACAAATCGACATCATTGTCACACACTCGCACCAAGGGTACACTTTAATACAAGAACATTAAATCCTATGAGCGTTAATAGACTGTTGATAGGTATGGGTTGAGTTTCGTTAGCACCAGGTTTACAAAAGGGTACATGGTCAAAATGAGGGTGGTGAAAATATGAGCAATACTAAGACATCGTAGCAAGAGGTTTTGATGATACCACATGAACTGGTCAAGAGAACGAGCGTTATCTTCACATTGGAATCCCATGGAGTCGTTAAAGGGCACAGATTGGGGTCCTTGATTATACATGCAAGGTCGGTATTGTGATGACCTGGGTTGATGAGTTGGGGACTGAGACCCGTGGTTCACATGTTGTGCTTGGGGATATGGTGATGGAATGGATCCTGGCTGACATGAATGCTCTTTCTTTGGCCCAGTATCTGATCCTATTGCATTGACATGATGGGTGTTGAGAGTATTGACTTTAACTGTGAGTTCATTTATAGCGGTCATGGTTTCATCAGATCTGGAGTCAGTCCACCCTGACATGGCCTCGGCTATCTCCGCACTATCTGTCACCTGTTCTAAGGAGGTGAGGGGGCGTGTCAGGATGAACATGCGGATATTGGGAAGAGCATTACGGAGAATAAGATCTTTGATGTACATGTCTTCATTTCTTTGTAGAAGCTCTGCCTCATGTCTTATGGACTGGAGGAATGATCGGAAAGGTTCACCTTCCCACTGTTTTCTGTCCAATAAATCATTTTGTCGAGTTACAAGACCTACTGCGGAAGGTGCATATCTCCGTAAAAAGGCTTGTCTCAACTCAGACCAAGACATAAGTGAAATATTGTTGATACCATCGTACCATTCAGCTGCGAGATCAGTTAAATAAAGGGGGAATATTTTTGTTTGGTCTTCTTCAGAATACTTTTGTACTGAAGCAAAGTTTTCAAAGCGTTTCAGCCATGAAACAGCAGCAATGGAATCCTTGCCATCATACATTGAGAGCGGGAGGCGGGAGCAGTTAATTAGTCTTAATAAAGAGGTGCGATCATCAGTGGACGAAGGATTATCAGCGTGGGGTCTTGGGCGATTGGTCAGCTGACATGTTTGAGGTATTTCAGATTGGGAGGGGGGTGGGGAGGAGAGGGGGGGAAACTGTGATGGAGGAGGCAAGTAAGATGGGGGAGTTTGTTGGGGGTCCCGGGGGTGTTGAGGCTGTGGTGAACGAGGTCGTGGTGACCCGGTTGCATACAAGGTTTCCCATCGGGGAGTGAAAATAGTTTCTTGTTGGGTTGAACCATTTCTAGACTGTAAGGACTGGTATACTATGGGAGGACTCAAGACTTCGGGGGAGGCTAGGGGAAGACGTTCATTGGCATTGAGGGGTTTCAGAGCGTAAAAAGTCATTCTTGTTGATTGTAATACAATATATGAAATAATGCTTACCAAAACTGTTCCTACGAATGTCACAAATATGCAGGGCTATAGCACATTAATTACAACAAATATTCACTGCAAATCACAATGCCTTTGAGGACTGTTTCTTTTGAGATAGTGGCTGGCACAAACACACAGGAATTACCGGAATGAAACAAATGTCTTGGTTAAGTGGAACTTGATGTTGTTAACACAGTGGTCGTCGATGAAAATGTCAGTCTTCGAAATCACCTCTTGATGGTTGAGGGAGGGGTGTGACGAAACAAGGAATCCTGGGTTCTTTTTCTGTTGTATCCTGGAAAAGTTGCTGGTCCCCGGGACGGCTGAAGGGGTTGGCCTTTTAGGGTGGTAACAATGTCTCCGAGTAAGAACAATGATGACAATAATGATGAGCACAGAATAGCTTGAGGATAGACGAACCAGAATGCTGGTTGTTGGTTGTTATTGTTGTGGACCCCAGACGAAATAACGATTCACTTTGTGTTGACAAACTTCTTTATCTTGTTGCATTGGGTTTGAGGTACCCGGATTCTCCACCAATATATCCTAGGTAGACGTTGGTGCTCTACCGGATAATTCTCTTATTACAACACACAAGTCCGTCTGTGGGTCCACAACGTTTATTCTTGATCTTACTATATCTATATAACTACATAGTAGTATGGCCAAGCAGGATCTCTGAGGCGTGATAGAGCCAACCTGCCTAGCCGCTGACCGAGGGTCAAGTCTCGACTAACAGAAAGCGTACTATCTTTAACCCTCACTGTCAGACTGCCATGTATCGTGTTACGTTACATACATGGTCAGCCTGCAGTATCCCGCACCTCATCCACAAAGTTAAGCTTCAGTGGCCAACCGGCCATTCTCTGGCATTAACTACAACCAGCTGACCCGCACATGACTCTGTGATGCTGGCCATGGTAATGATACCCCAGCTGCTGTTATAATTTGTATTGGCAGCACTCTGTTTATTTAAATAGATATAATCAACTTACTTAATTAAGGGAATATATAAAACGTATATACACTCCCTGTTAAAACATATAGACTCCCTGTTAAAACCTATATACCCTGCCAAACTGCCTATGATACATGTATGCCATTTTCTCACAACCAACTGTATCACGTATTTGGCAGCTTTTGGCATACTCAATGTGTATGTCAGAGCAGGGGAACTCTTTAACCCTTTGACTTCCAACAGGATTCTCAGAATCGAAGTGGTCAGTGAGGGTGAGGAAAATGTTTGTTGACTAAGTCTGGCAATTATTATATCCTGCAAATGATTTCATTCATTCATTCGTGTTTGATAATATCGAATTGATTCTATGCCCAAATGTAGGAGGTTTGGTGACCAATTAAAGGCTACAATGTGATACTTACATTGAACACAAGGTGTTGGAGTTGTATTCGGCCGATACCATCCACTCTTACAGAGACACTTCTTGTTTGATTGTCCTGTAGTGTCTATACACCCAATGTTGGTGTCTGAGGTGTCACACTGGGATGTGTCATTACATGCACCGCCGAAGACCAATTCTGAAAGTAGCGTATTATAACACTACAGAAATGTCTTACAAACGGGGTAACGGTGATACGTTTTGTCACCAAAGCTCATTAAACAGTTATTATACAAACTATACAAACTAGAGAGAGTAAATAAACCATTTGCATGCCCTCCAGGCTATAGCACTACATACTACAGCCGTCTACCCGTCTACAGCCGTCTACACACACACACACCTTCCTCTCAGGCAAAATGCTGAAATACTGAATATTACTCATTCACCGCTTCAACCTTACCGTCTGATTTCAATACCCAACCAAGTGGCTTTTTCTGTCAGTTGTGTTGTCAGTTTCTGTCAGTATTTTAGGTGTGGAAAGACATATTCAAGTCTTGAATTGATATATTTGATCTGGAGTCAACAACAACTATCTAATCATTAAAAGTCAATGCCAGAGTAAACCTCGATTATTCAACTAAACAGTTTGCGTAAAACGCAAAATGGCGGTTAAACTTTTGTGAATGGATCACTGAAAATCTGTGATGACACCAGGTGTTCGAGAAAAGGTAAGCATATATTTTCCTACAAATAACTCAAATAATACATCGTAACTTAGCTACTTGTAGTAAATGTAAGTAAGTGTCACACTTACTTGTTGTAAATGTTCTTTGGACCGAAGTAATCGTCTGACTCCTGCCATACTGTGTGATGGTATATACGACTGTGACTGTATACACTGTTCCTGGAGATAGGGGCTGAATGTTGTAGTTCTTCTGTTGTGTAGAGGCAGTTCCTGGTGATCCTGGTGATCCTGGAGGTCCTGGAGACCACTCTACCGTGTAGCTGTAGGAGTACCCTCCAGTGACATCAGTATTTGTCCAGCTGATGGAAATGTAGTCTGTTCCTATGGTTGGTGTGTTTACGATGGCTGGTTGTAATGAGCTAGCTGAAATCAATACATGTTCACAGAGATTACTGTACTGTCAGTCAACAGCCATGATCAATTGGCACGGTCAACAATGTTGTCCATGTGCAATGGACAAATGGGCATGACGTGTGGGTTGTTGTGAAAGTGGCTGTATGGTATTGTGATTCTTTTATATTAGACATTTTTGTTCCCTTATTTTGTAACAGTCCTTCAACTTCTTAGTCCTGCAATACTATTTGAGACAAGGAAACAGCATTATCACTATCCCTCGCCATCGGGAACATTACAATTATGTTTGTTTCTATAATAGCGAGTGTAAACTAAAAAGTCACATAAAGCCTTACAAAGAAATCAGAATCTCATCAGAAAATAATATTTAATGTTAAATTAATACACACAAAAGGGCCCTCCTCTTGAAAAATAACTCAGTCTTGATAATGATCTCTTAGACAAGTTAACTTGAGCAGTTTCTGAGAAAACTTGTACCCATTGCGGACACGATGCACTAAGTAAACTGACATGGACCAAGGGCCGTTACTGTGTTGTTAAAATATTACGGGATCAATTTGCTAACTCAATAGTAACAAGTATCTGTTAGACAAGCATGCAAACTTTCATTCGAGTAACTTCACTAATTTCTTAGTCAACATGTCCCCATTGCACACAATATGCTCTAAGATGAAGAGCACGGACCAAGGGTCATAACTCTTTAAAAAATATATGTACGACACCAATTTTCGAACTCATTTGAGATCAAAATCAGTAACATCAGTATTTAAAAATTCATTTCTCTAACTTGAACAGTTTTTGCGAAAAATAATTCACATTGAGAAGCAGACTGACGTACGTTTCTATATACAATCCCTGCCTCACTGCGTGATAGTGGATACTGATAATTATGTTGAAATTAATTAGGTTATTTAAATCTTGAGACTGCCAGTAAATAGCCAATTAACAAAAATCGTTTGCAACGCGACAGGACGTTTCCCTCGCTTTTTCATCCTTTTCCAATTTTGCATTGGAGCTTGTGTACATACTCAATGAGGATAAAGAAATGTCTTTTCAGGTAGGGGTCGGTAAGTGTAATTATACTATGCTTATCGCCAAGAGAAGGTTAAAAGCAGGCACTTAACTATGTCCAGTTAGATACTTACTGTCCGTATAAGATGATGAAATTCAGATGGTGATGGCTTATACATCCCATCTTAACAGAGGCACCTTTCCTCTGTTTTCTCTGTAATATGTACACAGTCTATGTTCGGGTTTGAGTTGTCGCACTGGACCATGCTAATATATATACTCTGCCACTTACTTTCAACACAGGACGTTGCTGTTTGCTCTGTAATATGTACACAGTCTATGTTCGGGTTTGAGTTGTCGCACTGGACCATGCTAATATATACTCTGCCACTTACTTTCAACACAGGACGTTGCTGTTTGCTCTGTAATATGTACACAGTCTATGTTCGGGTTTGAGTTGTCGCACTGAACCATGCTAATATATACTCTGCCACTTACTTTCAACACAGGACGTTGCTGTCTGCTCTGTAATATGTACACAGTCCATGTTCGGGTTTGAGTTGTCGCACTGGACCATGCTAATATATACTCTGCCACTTACTTTCGACACAGGACGTTGCTGTTTGCTCTGTAATATGTACACAGTTTATGTTCGGGTTTGAGTTGTCGCACTGGACCATGCTAATATATATACTCTGCCACTTACTTTCAACACAGGACGTTGCTGTTTGCTCTGTAATATGTACGCAGTCTATGTTCGGGTTTGAGTTGTCGCACTGGACCATGCTAATATATACTCTGCCACTTACTTTCAACACAGGACGTTGCTGTTTGCTCTGTAATATGTACGCAGTCTATGTTCGGGTTTGAGTTGTCGCACTGAACCATGCTAATATATACTCTGCCACTTACTTTCAACACAGGACGTTGCTGTTTGCTCTGTAATATGTACACAGTCTATGTTCGGGTTTGAGTTGTCGCACTGGACCATGCTAATATATACTCTGCCACTTACTTTCAACACAGGACGTTGCTGTTTGCTCTGTAATATGTACACAGTCTATGTTCGGGTTTGAGTTGTCGCACTGAACCATGCTAATATATACTCTGCCACTTACTTTCAACACAGGACGTTGCTGTCTGCTCTGTAATATGTACACAGTCTATGTTCGGGTTTGAGTTGTCGCACTGGACCATGCTAATATATACTCTGCCACTTACTTTCGACACAGGACGTTGCTGTTTGCTCTGTAATATGTACACAGTCTATGTTCGGGTTTGAGTTGTCGCACTGGACCATGCTAATATATATACTCTGCCACTTACTTTCAACACAGGACGTTGCTGTTTGCTCTGTAATATGTACACAGTCTATGTTCGGGTTTGAGTTGTCGCACTGGACCATGCTAATATATACTCTGCCACTTACTTTCAACAGGGGACGTTGCTGTTTGCTTTGTAATATGTACACAGTCTATGTTCGGGTTTGAGTTGTCGCACTGAACCATGCTAATATATACTCTGCCACTTACTTTAAACACAGGACGTTGCTGTTTGCTCTGTAATATGTACACAGTCTATGTTCGGGTTTGAGTTGTCGCACTGGACCATGCTAATATATACTCTGCCACTTACTTTCAACACAGGACGTTGCTGTTTGCTCTGTAATATGTACACAGTCTATGTTCGGGTTTGAGTTGTCGCACCGGACCATGCTAATATATACTCTGCCACTTACTTTCAACACAGGACGTTGCTGTTTGCTCTGTAATATGTACACAGTCTATGTTCGGGTTTGAGTTGTCGCACTGGACCATGCTTATACATACTCGGCCACTTACTTTCAACAGGGGACGTTGCTGTTTGCTTTGTAATATGTACACAGTCTATGTTCGGGTTTGAGTTGTCGCACTGAACCATGCTAATATATACTCTGCCACTTACTTTCAACACAGGACGTTGCTGTCTGCTCTGTAATATGTACACAGTCTATGTTCGGGTTTGAGTTGTCGCACTGGACCATGCTAATATATACTCTGCCACTTACTTTCGACACAGGACGTTGCTGTTTGCTCTGTAATATGTACACAGTCTATGTTCGGGTTTGAGTTGTCGCACTGGACCATGCTAATATATATACTCGGCCACTTACTTTCAACACAGGACGTTGCTGTTTGCTCTGTAATATGTACACAGTCTATGTTCGGGTTTGAGTTGTCGCACTGGACCATGCTTATATATACTCGGCCACTTACTTTCAACACAGGACGTTGCTGTTTGCTCTGTAATATGTACACAGTCTATGTTCGGGTTTGAGTTGTCGCACTGAACCATGCTAATATATACTCTGCCACTTACTTTAAACACAGGACGTTGCTGTTTGCTCTGTAATATGTACACAGTCTATGTTCGGGTTTGAGTTGTCGCACTGGACCATGCTAATATATACTCTGCCACTTACTTTCAACACAGGACGTTGCTGTTTGCTCTGTAATATGTACACAGTCTATGTTCGGGTTTGAGTTGTCGCACCGGACCATGCTAATATATACTCTGCCACTTACTTTCAACACAGGACGTTGCTGTTTGCTCTGTAATATGTACACAGTCTATGTTCGGGTTTGAGTTGTCGCACTGGACCATGCTAATATATACTCTGCCACTTACTTTCAACACAGGACGTTGCTGTTTGCTCTGTAATATGTACGCAGTCTATGTTCGGGTTTGAGTTGTCGCACTGAACCATGCTAATATATACTCTGCCACTTACTTTCAACACAGGACGTTGCTGTTTGCTCTGTAATATGTACACAGTCTATGTTCGGGTTTGAGTTGTCGCACTGGACCATGCTAATATATACTCTGCCACTTACTTTCAACACAGGACGTTGCTGTTTGCTCTGTAATATGTACGCAGTCTATGTTCGGGTTTGAGTTGTCGCACTGAACCATGCTAATATATACTCTGCCACTTACTTTCAACACAGGACGTTGCTGTTTGCTCTGTAATATGTACACAGTCTATGTTCGGGTTTGAGTTGTCGCACTGGACCATGCTAATATATACTCTGCCACTTACTTTCAACACAGGACGTTGCTGTTTGCTCTGTAATATGTACACAGTCTATGTTCGGGTTTGAGTTGTCGCACTGAACCATGCTAATATATACTCTGCCACTTACTTTCAACACAGGACGTTGCTGTCTGCTCTGTAATATGTACACAGTCTATGTTTGGGTTTGAGTTGTCGCACTGGACCATGCTAATATATACTCTGCCACTTACTTTCGACACAGGACGTTGCTGTTTGCTCTGTAATATGTACACAGTCTATGTTCGGGTTTGAGTTGTCGCACTGGACCATGCTAATATATATACTCTGCCACTTACTTTCAACACAGGACGTTGCTGTTTGCTCTGTAATATGTACACAGTCTATGTTCGGGTTTGAGTTGTCGCACTGGACCATGCTAATATATACTCTGCCACTTACTTTCAACAGGGGACGTTGCTGTTTGCTTTGTAATATGTACACAGTCTATGTTCGGGTTTGAGTTGTCGCACTGAACCATGCTAATATATACTCTGCCACTTACTTTAAACACAGGACGTTGCTGTTTGCTCTGTAATATGTACACAGTCTATGTTCGGGTTTGAGTTGTCGCACTGGACCATGCTAATATATACTCTGCCACTTACTTTCAACACAGGACGTTGCTGTTTGCTCTGTAATATGTACACAGTCTATGTTCGGGTTTGAGTTGTCGCACTGAACCATGCTAATATATACTCTGCCACTTACTTTCAACACAGGACGTTGCTGTTTGCTCTGTAATATGTACACAGTCTATGTTCGGGTTTGAGTTGTCGCACTGAACCATGCTAATATATACTCTGCCACTTACTTTCAACACAGGACGTTGCTGTCTGCTCTGTAATATGTACACAGTCCATGTTCGGGTTTGAGTTGTCGCACTGGACCATGCTAATATATACTCTGCCACTTACTTTCGACACAGGACGTTGCTGTTTGCTCTGTAATATGTACACAGTTTATGTTCGGGTTTGAGTTGTCGCACTGGACCATGCTAATATATATACTCTGCCACTTACTTTCAACACAGGACGTTGCTGTTTGCTCTGTAATATGTACGCAGTCTATGTTCGGGTTTGAGTTGTCGCACTGGACCATGCTAATATATACTCTGCCACTTACTTTCAACACAGGACGTTGCTGTTTGCTCTGTAATATGTACGCAGTCTATGTTCGGGTTTGAGTTGTCGCACTGAACCATGCTAATATATACTCTGCCACTTACTTTCAACACAGGACGTTGCTGTTTGCTCTGTAATATGTACACAGTCTATGTTCGGGTTTGAGTTGTCGCACTGGACCATGCTAATATATACTCTGCCACTTACTTTCAACACAGGACGTTGCTGTTTGCTCTGTAATATGTACACAGTCTATGTTCGGGTTTGAGTTGTCGCACTGAACCATGCTAATATATACTCTGCCACTTACTTTCAACACAGGACGTTGCTGTCTGCTCTGTAATATGTACACAGTCTATGTTCGGGTTTGAGTTGTCGCACTGGACCATGCTAATATATACTCTGCCACTTACTTTCGACACAGGACGTTGCTGTTTGCTCTGTAATATGTACACAGTCTATGTTCGGGTTTGAGTTGTCGCACTGGACCATGCTAATATATATACTCTGCCACTTACTTTCAACACAGGACGTTGCTGTTTGCTCTGTAATATGTACACAGTCTATGTTCGGGTTTGAGTTGTCGCACTGGACCATGCTAATATATACTCTGCCACTTACTTTCAACAGGGGACGTTGCTGTTTGCTTTGTAATATGTACACAGTCTATGTTCGGGTTTGAGTTGTCGCACTGAACCATGCTAATATATACTCTGCCACTTACTTTAAACACAGGACGTTGCTGTTTGCTCTGTAATATGTACACAGTCTATGTTCGGGTTTGAGTTGTCGCACTGGACCATGCTAATATATACTCTGCCACTTACTTTCAACACAGGACGTTGCTGTTTGCTCTGTAATATGTACACAGTCTATGTTCGGGTTTGAGTTGTCGCACTGAACCATGCTAATATATACTCTGCCACTTACTTTCAACACAGGACGTTGCTGTTTGCTCTGTAATATGTACACAGTCTATGTTCGGGTTTGAGTTGTCGCACTGGACCATGCTTATACATACTCGGCCACTTACTTTCAACAGGGGACGTTGCTGTTTGCTTTGTAATATGTACACAGTCTATGTTCGGGTTTGAGTTGTCGCACTGAACCATGCTAATATATACTCTGCCACTTACTTTCAACACAGGACGTTGCTGTCTGCTCTGTAATATGTACACAGTCTATGTTCGGGTTTGAGTTGTCGCACTGGACCATGCTAATATATACTCTGCCACTTACTTTCGACACAGGACGTTGCTGTTTGCTCTGTAATATGTACACAGTCTATGTTCGGGTTTGAGTTGTCGCACTGGACCATGCTAATATATATACTCGGCCACTTACTTTCAACACAGGACGTTGCTGTTTGCTCTGTAATATGTACACAGTCTATGTTCGGGTTTGAGTTGTCGCACTGGACCATGCTTATATATACTCGGCCACTTACTTTCAACACAGGACGTTGCTGTTTGCTCTGTAATATGTACACAGTCTATGTTCGGGTTTGAGTTGTCGCACTGAACCATGCTAATATATACTCTGCCACTTACTTTAAACACAGGACGTTGCTGTTTGCTCTGTAATATGTACACAGTCTATGTTCGGGTTTGAGTTGTCGCACTGGACCATGCTAATATATACTCTGCCACTTACTTTCAACACAGGACGTTGCTGTTTGCTCTGTAATATGTACACAGTCTATGTTCGGGTTTGAGTTGTCGCACCGGACCATGCTAATATATACTCTGCCACTTACTTTCAACACAGGACGTTGCTGTTTGCTCTGTAATATGTACACAGTCTATGTTCGGGTTTGAGTTGTCGCACTGGACCATGCTAATATATACTCTGCCACTTACTTTCAACACAGGACGTTGCTGTTTGCTCTGTAATATGTACGCAGTCTATGTTCGGGTTTGAGTTGTCGCACTGAACCATGCTAATATATACTCTGCCACTTACTTTCAACACAGGACGTTGCTGTTTGCTCTTTAATATGTACACAGTCTATGTTCGGGTTTGAGTTGTCGCACTGGACCATGCTAATATATACTCTGCCACTTACTTTCAACACAGGACGTTGCTGTTTGCTCTGTAATATGTACGCAGTCTATGTTCGGGTTTGAGTTGTCGCACTGAACCATGCTAATATATACTCTGCCACTTACTTTCAACACAGGACGTTGCTGTTTGCTCTGTAATATGTACACAGTCTATGTTCGGGTTTGAGTTGTCGCACTGGACCATGCTAATATATACTCTGCCACTTACTTTCAACACAGGACGTTGCTGTTTGCTCTGTAATATGTACACAGTCTATGTTCGGGTTTGAGTTGTCGCACTGAACCATGCTAATATATACTCTGCCACTTACTTTCAACACAGGACGTTGCTGTCTGCTCTGTAATATGTACACAGTCTATGTTTGGGTTTGAGTTGTCGCACTGGACCATGCTAATATATACTCTGCCACTTACTTTCGACACAGGACGTTGCTGTTTGCTCTGTAATATGTACACAGTCTATGTTCGGGTTTGAGTTGTCGCACTGGACCATGCTAATATATATACTCTGCCACTTACTTTCAACACAGGACGTTGCTGTTTGCTCTGTAATATGTACACAGTCTATGTTCGGGTTTGAGTTGTCGCACTGGACCATGCTAATATATACTCTGCCACTTACTTTCAACAGGGGACGTTGCTGTTTGCTTTGTAATATGTACACAGTCTATGTTCGGGTTTGAGTTGTCGCACTGAACCATGCTAATATATACTCTGCCACTTACTTTAAACACAGGACGTTGCTGTTTGCTCTGTAATATGTACACAGTCTATGTTCGGGTTTGAGTTGTCGCACTGGACCATGCTAATATATACTCTGCCACTTACTTTCAACACAGGACGTTGCTGTTTGCTCTGTAATATGTACACAGTCTATGTTCGGGTTTGAGTTGTCGCACTGAACCATGCTAATATATACTCTGCCACTTACTTTCAACACAGGACGTTGCTGTTTGCTCTGTAATATGTACACAGTCTATGTTCGGGTTTGAGTTGTCGCACTGGACCATGCTTATACATACTCGGCCACTTACTTTCAACAGGGGACGTTGCTGTTTGCTTTGTAATATGTACACAGTCTATGTTCGGGTTTGAGTTGTCGCACTGAACCATGCTAATATATACTCTGCCACTTACTTTCAACACAGGACGTTGCTGTCTGCTCTGTAATATGTACACAGTCTATGTTCGGGTTTGAGTTGTCGCACTGGACCATGCTAATATATACTCTGCCACTTACTTTCGACACAGGACGTTGCTGTTTGCTCTGTAATATGTACACAGTCTATGTTCGGGTTTGAGTTGTCGCACTGGACCATGCTAATATATATACTCGGCCACTTACTTTCAACACAGGACGTTGCTGTTTGCTCTGTAATATGTACACAGTCTATGTTCGGGTTTGAGTTGTCGCACTGGACCATGCTTATATATACTCGGCCACTTACTTTCAACACAGGACGTTGCTGTTTGCTCTGTAATATGTACACAGTCTATGTTCGGGTTTGAGTTGTCGCACTGAACCATGCTAATATATACTCTGCCACTTACTTTAAACACAGGACGTTGCTGTTTGCTCTGTAATATGTACACAGTCTATGTTCGGGTTTGAGTTGTCGCACTGGACCATGCTAATATATACTCTGCCACTTACTTTCAACACAGGACGTTGCTGTTTGCTCTGTAATATGTACACAGTCTATGTTCGGGTTTGAGTTGTCGCACCGGACCATGCTAATATATACTCTGCCACTTACTTTCAACACAGGACGTTGCTGTTTGCTCTGTAATATGTACACAGTCTATGTTCGGGTTTGAGTTGTCGCACTGGACCATGCTTATACATACTCGGCCACTTACTTTCAACACAAGATGTTGGACTTGTATTTGGCCTATACCATCCATTCTTACAGAGGCACTTCTTGTCTGGTGATCCTGTAGCCTGTACACACTCTATGTTGGAGTCTGAAGTTGTGTCACACTGGGATGTCTCACTACATGCACCACCGAAGGCTTGTTCTGAAATAAGCAAATCATAAAAGTACAGAAATATCTTACGAACAGGGTAACGGTGATATTATTGTCACCCAAATAAAGTTCATTAAACAGTTATTATACAAACTAAAGAAAGAAAATAAACAATATGCAAAAGAATAATTAGCTATACCCTTCTGTCAACGGGCTAAAGATGCGTATATTTCATGTTACTACTACTGCGACAAAATCTCACTCTGAAAGTAATGCAAGATATCAATACAGAAATATGTGAAAAGCCGTGTATTTCTGATAAAAGTGAACGTAACTCCTTCATTAAGAAGAGCTATTGAAAAACGTGTAACTTAGAACACGGGCGTAATGATATGTGGTAGTGGGTTTAACAATGTAATTGTGGTAGACACTGCCAACTGTTTTAACAAAACAACTTTATGTTAGCGATTATTAATTTTAAACGATTCACTGTCTGTAAAGTGCTTGATGACACATGACAACCAATATGACTTGGTTTGGATTAAATGATAGATATTCTGAGAATGTCAAGGGAAGAAAATCAAGTTATATCTTGTTATACTACTTTATCTCATGTCATCATGGACAAAACATAAAGGCTGATACTTAACTATTCGTTGTAAATGTTTTGGGGTCCGATGTAATCGTCTGACGCCTGCCGTGCAGTGTGATGGTGTATGTAACACTGACTGTATACTCGGTCCCTGGAGACAGGGACTGGATGTTGTAGTTCTTCTGTTGTGTAGAGGTAGTTGCTGGTGATCCTGGAGGTACTGGAGACCACACTACCGTAAAGCTGTAGGAGTACCCTCCAGTGACATCTGCATTTGTCCAGCTGATGCCAATATTGCCTGTTCCTATGGTTGGTGTGTTTACAATGACTGGTTTTAGTGAACTAGCTGAAAAATATAAATGATCACAGATATTACTGTACCGTAAGTCAGTAGAATGTTGAAGACCCCGGAATATCAAACTGTCGGCCCCTACTTTGACATTAACCCTTAAACTGCATCCCTCTGATCTCATGTTACAATGGTACATGGCTTTATATGTTTCCATGAAACAACCGGTTTGGCAGACTTGTGTGGAGAGAAAAGTTATGTAGATTTCCGGGCTTGGAATCACATTAAAACAACGTTTAAACCAATCGGATTGTGCACACGCTGCCACTCGTTTTACAACGGATAATGAACATTTCATCTGAAAGTGCATATCAGTTTTGCAAGTCTCTTTTAAGTCTTAGAAAGATATTCGCGAGTACATATCTCTCTCGTTTCGCGGACCGTTTACCCAGATGAGTTGTTTATTTCGATACCAAGTGATCCTAAGTTATTATTTTTAGTGTGTTGGCAAAGGAAATCATTTGCATTCGAAATAATATTTAGTGATCCATAGAGCTGTCGTGAATATCCTCATTCAATGTGTATACTATCCTGGAAATATCGAATACTTATTGGGCTGTCTCTAAATGCGAACCTCGGATGGTTACCTTCATTGAAACAGGATCTTGCATATCGACATCAGTCGAGATGAATATAATCTAATCTTCACTCGCTTGTGATCTGAACATTACATCTTATCAAGGAGATTGTAAGTGGGTATAGTGATTTAGTTTGTGTTGTTATGTGAACCTAAGTAGTATTATTAGGAATAATATCGCGTTCTATTCCTCAGTAAAATACAAGTGTAAAAAACCAACATTTCATAATCATAAGAAGTCTCTGCTTAAGTGTGAATATATGACACTGTTCATCGACAGCAACTTCTTTTATTCTCTGTCACGACCTTTCAGATCTACTTCTTCCTCCTTCATGAAGCGAATGCTGAGAAAGTGCATAGAGCATGAAACAATTATAATTCACATACATTGCGTTACCTATTTCATGATAAACGTCTTCTTCAGCATTACGCTGCATGGCATCAGGATTTGCATTTTTAAGGCAAGAGAAGATGAGGGAATATTTCCTCACTGACTTAGAAATCAGGTGGGTAAATCAGTCGAAGGAAATTGCCTATTTGGCCGTTATTGAATTTGAACTCTGACAGATCATCGATATACATGAAGCCGAAGCTGAAGTTTTGATTTTGCCAATCCAAGCAGAACAACCGAGTCTTATGCATTAAGAAACAGATCAGTAAGAAAAGGAGCACAACCAATGCCCATGTAATTATAGAGGTGCCTACTAAATGTCTTATCCACAAATTTCATATCGATGTTATCACTGAGGAATTACAGCTTTTCACATATTTTTTTCTCAGTAAACTGCAGATGACTTTACTGTCATTTTGACAAATTGTTCTGAACCTCTGTAACTAGGTCTGTTATCATCACGTTTCGTTACAAACGCCCCATGGATCAAGGAATGATAAAGAATGTCAACAAGGTGTGACGTTTTGAAAAAATACACTTGTTTCCCAAATGTTAAGAACGCTGCGAGAATCTAACATATTTAACTTCATTAAACTTATAAAATGCCAACATTGCAAACCAAAGATCCGGATTTCTGGAGAGCTCAAAAAGAATAAACATCCCGTCTCGCGTTCTTTTTTTTTCGGTACTTAGACGCAGTCCGTGCGTGTGCGTATGCGTATGCGTATACGGCTAACACCAATGCGCACTGTAGGACTTTCCGTCATATACTTCTGTTAAGATCTTCTTGGCCTTTGTCGGGTAGCCTAGTGGTTAAATCGTTCGCTCGTCCCGGGTTCGATTCCCGACATGAATCACCATACAATGGTCCTACTCCACTTGCACAAACCGATCTTAGCGCGATTGTAAGACGGCTTGGAGTTAAGATCGCGGTCTTAGCTAAGATTGTCGTGATTTTGGAACTGTTTTCTACAAGAGAAATACCTACTCATGTTTTTATTAAAAGTATTGGAGTACGAATAAACACATTATTTAGTAACAAAATTATTATGGGTACATGGGTACAATGTGTGATGTCCATTTCTGGTGCCTCCTGCCGGGATATTGCCGTAATATTGCTAAAAGCGGCGTAAAACCAAACTCACTCACTCACTCACTTCGCCTTTGTAGTATTTCTTAAATGAATGTTTTTGCTTGGCAATAACTTCATTCAAACAAGTACCAGTTAAATAGGAAGCAATTTTGTGGTGTGTATAAGAGCAAGCGTTCTTAAAACTTATCGTCAAAGTCAAGCAATCAAAGTTATTAAGAGAAATCATGTTCTCCGATTCCCATTTACAGCCTTCCAAACTGAAAACGTCTCGGTATCTTGTACAATGTCATGTCCTTCCTAACAGTTATCGTCAAGAAAAGCAGGGTTCCACGGGGTTAGAATTAAAAATGGTTCATGATTTATTCCTATGGATAATACACCTATAACACATTGACAGATTTACTAATAGGAACGATAGTTGTTGTTGTTACCCAGTCTGGCGCTCGGCTCAAGCAAGGATTGGTCGGCTCGGAGTCAATATACTGCGTCCGTTTGGGATATTCATGTTAAACTGCGGCATGGTATCTCAGTGGGCTAGCGAGCCATAAAATCGTCATTAGTCCGGACGAGTACAAGAACCTGGGTCCACTTGCACAAAGCGATCTTACCGCTACAATTATTGTAAATCCTTAAGATCGCGATCTTAGGCGGCTACAATCAACTTTACAATCACCATACAATGGTCCTACTCCACTTGCACAAACCGATCTTAGCGCGATTGTAAGACGGCTTGGAGTTAAGATCGCGATCTTAGCTAAGATTGTCGTGATTTTGGAACTGTTTTCTATTTCAACAAGAGAAATACCTACTCATGTTTTTATTAAAAGTATTGGAGTACGAATAAACACATTATTTAGTAACAAAATTATTATGAAAATTAAAATAAATAATAATATGTCCTAAAAACATAACGAGTAAATGCATGTTCGTCAATTTAGGAGAGCTTTCCGTAAAATTCTAAATATATCCTTCATGTTTTGGTTTGAAATTCGTTACTACAGCAACGGATGTTATGACTACCATTTCAAAACACAGAAAGACGGGAACTTTCTAAAACGCATAGACGGGAAATAAGAATAATGAATAATGTTTTGAGAAAGCAATTCTTTAATATATTCCGAACCAAATTAAAAACTTCACAATCCAGTTATCATTGTGGGCCCTTATTGTGTATTTAAACAGTAATGGCCACGTATTGTCTTCAGATAACGCCCGTTTTTGTGCAGGTGAATCGATCAAAATCATGTGCCGTGCACTATAGTGGCAAAAGTGATTTTTCACGTGCAACTGGTCACGTGGCCATAATACCGCACGTGTTTTCAGCTTGTTACTTGTTAGCAGTCATTAACAAAAAAAAGAAAAACACAAGAAAAAAAAAGTCTTTACGGCGATTTGTTATGCCACGCCTTTCAATGTGCAACGTGAACGTGCCATCGACATGTTGCAGACGGGAACGTCCGTAGCTGAAGTCGCAAGGACGATGGGTTGTAGTCGACGGAGTGTTTATGATTTACAGACGCGTCTACAGCAAACGGGTACCATCGCTTAGCGTCCTCGGCCAGGTCGACCACGTGTGACGTCACATGCAGAGGATCGTCAGATTGTCTTACGTCACCTCCGATTTTTGACGGCTACATCAACCAGAAATGAACTGTTTAGGGGTAGACTGAGTGCGCAAACTGTTCGAAACCGTCTGAGAAGTGCTCACCTTCAAACACGGCCATACTGCGGGCCGATTCTGAATCAATTACACAGCCGTCAACGTCAATTGTGGGCACAGCGACACTTACGATGGACTCAGAGGAATTGGAATCAAGTCGTCTTCAGTGATGAATCCCGATTTAATCTTCGATTTGCTGATGGTAGGGCGAGGGTGTGGAGGAGTCGTCATGAACTTTACGCCCAGTGTTGTGTACAGATTTCGAGGCGGAAGTGTCATGGTGTGGGGTGCTTTCTGTGGCAATGTACGTTACAGGTTTCTTGTCATCCGTGGCAACCTCAACGCTGCTGCTTACCGCGACCAGGTACTGGCACCAGAACTTCTGCATTTTATGGCAGCACATGGACCCAGTTTGATCTTCCAACACGACAATGCCAGACCCAACACAGCAATTTTGACAAGGAATTTCCTTCGGAATGCGAGAATCAACGTCATGGACTGGCCGTCAAGGGCTCCCGACCTCAATCCCATCGAAAACGTCTGGTGTGCTCTTGGCAGAAGTATGCACACTCTCCAGAACCAACCACAGGATTTGCAAGATCTTGGCACCATTTTGCAGCAACAATGGCGTTGTCTTCGCAATCATGTGTTCACAAGCATCACAAGGCCCATGCGGAGGCGTTGTGTGGCAGTTGTCAACGCACATGGTGGCCATACACGCTACTGAACTTGTGTGCCATCAGATTCTCGTGCTTGGGACTTATGATTTAAACTGTTGATGTTATTAAAGAATACCGTAGGTGCTTGGAACAAATTGTGGTTACCACCGTTAATTAAAATCCTTCTTTTGACATTAATGATTAAAAATTACCTTCTCTGATACATTTGTCCGTTGTATATCATATATGGGATTACTTTTAAAAATGTGAAGTTTTTAATTTGACTCAGCACATGATTTTGATCGATTCACATGCACAAAAACGGGTGTTATCTGAAGACAATACGTGGCCATTACTGTTTAAATACACAATAAGGGCCCACAATGATAACTGGTCAAAATGTTAAAATTTTAGGATAGTGAAGTTTTTGATTTGGTTCGTATATATTCACTGGGTATTATTTTTTTTCTTTTCCAAAAAAAGTGTGAATTATATTTTTGCTATTAATGGGATGTTTTGCAAATAACATCAAATGTTTCATCATGTATATTTGCTGGTTTGATGAATACTTGTCCCCGTCCCACTGTGATTGCTTGACACATGTACTATAACAGGGG